AAACAAGTGAATAAATTATTCAGCTTTTCTACATTTCAGAGAAAATCAACACATTTTTGTCTTCGTCACTTCGGAGCAAACGAAAATGCAGATAACGTGTCACAATATTATTTGTGCACATGAATTCCAGTTGTGGGTGCTGGCTATGCAATATTAATGTTGTTTTGTAATTATTACTAAGAAACATTAATTGCAGCATCATAAATAAAGAGCTGCACTTAAGACAATAAAACACAACCTGAAGATCTTCCTCTTTGTGATCTATTTTTGAATGAGCACACTGTTAGCTGTCTGGACGTTGTCCTTTAGTTGCTTATGGCAGGGATGTAATGAGAAAGGCCCAGATGCTGCCAACAAGGAGTTACTGGCATTTGCTGATTTTATTGCACCTGCTGCATAGGAAACAATAGTGATACATTACAGCTGTCACCATTTTAACAGCCCTATTCGATGTGGTCTTAATTACAATAAGCCTACCTGAGCTTTCTTCTTGCTGCGGAACAGAAACATTATGAAAATTTTAAAAATCTACATTATTTCTAAAATTGCTGTATAAATGTGTAGATTGTATATCTTATTATAACCCCAAATATATTTTGGTGAGTTTACCTATTTGTGCTGTTGATATAAAACAAAATTACAATGCCCCCTACTGGCTGGCTGCAGTAAAAGCTTTAAGCCCCACCTCTTCATGTGACTAAATGAATCAAATATTTTATTGGTGTTGATTCCTGTTTGTTTGTGTAGTTCTTACCAATGCTGTTATAAATTCCAACGATAACTATTCTAATATGTTTAATTGTACTTAGATGAAAAAAAACACATTGGTGGTATGCAGGTGAACACGTGTGACATTTAACCCTTCATCTAGCTCTAAAACTACGACATAGCAGTGTGTATAAATGAGAATTTTGGCTTCTTGACGAAACATATAAAACAAATGTGATACAGATTAAGGATCTGATTACAGCTGTAGACATAGTTTAAGCATGCATTTGATGTTATATTCACAAAATGTCCAGACATCTTGCATTTAACTCTGTGTTTGCGCTTGTTTATGTAAATGCTAACAAACAGACAAACAAAAAAACTTTAATGCCACTTGTATCTAAAACTTTAAATAAAACTTTGTTTTTCTTACTATTCTAAATAAAACTTTACATGTGCATGCCTATGAAAGAAAAAAAATCAAAAATCACTCAGATGTCAAAATACTTGCAAAAAATAAATCAATTAATCCAAATTTCAGGAGATTTGGTCATGTGGAGGTGTGTCACACAGACCCTGAAACAGTCAACAATAACAAAGATGGCAGCTTTAGAACCTAATCCCTCAGATAAACAGACTGAATAAGGCGTCATGTTTCCAAAGCACTGAGGAGGAAGTCAGCAGGTGAGATGCTATCTAGGAGAGGAACTGCAGTGGGCACTACTTTTCCTGGGGTAGTGTGTTGACATGTTAATAATACATCAATGTTCAGCATTGATTGAAAAATCAGTGATGTTTGTAGTTTGAAATTGTGCCATGCTGGAGCTGAGCAATTGTTTTTTCAATGATCAGATTAATAAACGTTCTGAAAAATTCTAAATCCAAACAGTCTTTATTCTGTGTGCAAATAGAAGTCATCCTTTTAGATCCTTCTAACCGCACAGAAACCAAGATAGTCAATAATAGCTTAAATCAATCTTTGTGCGGAAAGTGAACACTAGCAATTAGCATGAGGCAAAATATGTTGGTAGTAGATTGGTGGGGGGGTGACGCCAGATCTGCTAAGTTTCTATTAGCTGCTGTTCCACCTTCGATGCGAATGCATGATGTGCAAATGAGAAGCAAGAAAATCAGAAAACTCTCAAACTTCATGTATTTTGGTCACCATTGACTGTTTTCACATCTGAATGTGCATATCTGGCTGTGATCACGTAAAATATTCTTCTCTGAGCACGTTGGACAAAATTATTCCCATAGAAAAAGATGCTCCATTTGATCCGATCTTAGAAAAGGGTGTTGTGTTCAGGTCAGTGCATTATTTAGCAATCTACATTACAATTTAATTATGTTTCAGTTCTTTAACAAGTATCGTAACATCTGCTCATTTAGAAAACATAAAGATGATGTAGATCAGAGTGTTGTTTTGTTTCTAGTTGTTGTTCAGAGGGAGCTCCTCCTGTGTGATCATTATTCTAGCAGTGAGTGGCCATTCATGCCTTGCCTGATCGTGCTGATAGCCTATAGCTCTGTCAGTTCGTTTATGGAGAGCAAAGAAAATAAAAAGTGACTGGAAGGAGGAAAAGAAACAACCCCAACCCTGCAACGACACATAGCTATTGAATGTCACTTGTAAAGGACAGTAAGTTGACCCAAGGGGTGGTAAATCCTCCCCTTTCTGCATGACCACCAAGTGAAATTAGACCGACTCGGTTATTTTTAGAGCAACCATGTGATTTGAGCCACAGGTCCCAAGACAAATGGGAGTCCTAGAAAAGAATGGCCTTCTTAAAAATGCCAGTATAAAACAACTGCTGCTTTCAAAGTCTGGAGGACTATTATTTTGAGTGAGGTCATTTATGCTAATGTTTTTATTTTTGTTGTGGTGCAGCCTGGACGATAACACCTTCTTCTCTCAGCAGCATAGCAGCTGCATCATTCATTAGGCAGCCCCACTATAATGAGACAGCACAGATAACGCTCCCAATTTTCACTGTGTCCTCTTCCCTCTGGGAGCTGAGATCATTATGAGGCGGCTGTTTGTTGCTCGGTTATGCTGACTCATGAAAACACAGTCACAGGCCATCAGCCGTTCAGTTCTCACTTCCCTCCTTTCAGCGTCTGGAAGATATATATATATATATATATATATATATATATATATATATATATATATATATATATATATATTTGTAGTGAACCTGGGTAGGCTCTGTCAATTATGTAGGGTAATGGTTTATGCTCTTTTATGAAAGAGGAACCATTCTACATTTTAATTTGTGATATTAATTTTAATAAATTAATAACCAAATTTTATAGGTTTAAGAAGACTCAAAGGTTGTTTTCATCGATAAACTGTCGATAATATCCGTGGGTCTGTGTTTCAGTTCAATGAAGAGACAAGTTTGAAAGTTAAAAGATTTAATTCTTCAAATTAAACTAATGATTTTGAAATGACAAGCATAGGAAACAACAATCAACATTGGCAACTTTGTTGAACAATCTTTAACAGTTGATATTGTAAACTTGCTCAAATAGACCTTGTGTTGGATGTGCTGAAGATTGAGAATGATGTGATGTGATTATGGATGCGTGTGTGCAGGTGTCTGAGATTGCTTCAGGAAGAAACAGGTGTCTGAGTGAAAAGTGATGGTTTGAATAAACTTAGGTTTTGTTGGAAAAGATGCATCAAACGCTATCTCTCGTGGACTGCCTCACCGACTTTAGGACCCTCTTTTAGATCCGGGACGTCAAAGGAGGATGTTTCATCCAGGGCATCTCGGCTGACAGAGAAGACGAAGGTGTCCGACGCTCCGGTCCAGAGATGCCCTCGGTACACGTGATGATGAAACGTTTGCAGATGCGCTTTCTTAAGTTTAAATTACTCAGAAAATCAAAGACTCTGGACGAGTCTGCGTTAGCGGTTGTAATTCAGCTATCCTGTCTGGCTTGGCAGGAACAGCGTGAGGGGGGGGAGAAAGGAGCCGCAGCCCCGTTCCCCGTTGGCGTTGTTCACAAGTCCTCCCTCTTTCGTTGTCAAATACGAACTGAATCATGAACTGAAAACTTACCAAAAGCCTTTCTCTTCTCAAAGCAAACGTGTGCGTCAGAGCAAATGTGTTTTGGAGTTTACTGTGAGTTTGTGTGTGTGTGCGTGTTTGAGTGAGTGTTTGAGTGTGTGAAGGTCGTTACCAAACATCCTCAAAACATTATTTAATTAAGCATTGATTCATTAGTTATTATGATTACCCAAAGCATAATAATCATTCATTTGATTAAAACACATTTATAATGAGCAAAGTGATAATACTGATCATTTAACAACTTAAAATAAAGGAAAGGAAGTTTAAGACTTTGTTATGTTATGACTAGCTTTTCCATGAGAACCATCTTCTGGCACTGCAGGTGTTCAGATGTTATGGTTTCTCCCAGACTCGCTGGCGTTCAGGTCTTAATCTGTGGGTGAAAGTTCTCAGCGACCCAGCTTTGACCCAGCTGAGTCAAATGAAACCTTTGGCACAGAAAACCCATATTTCCTCACGTTACATATTTTTGCAGCAAATAGCAAATTGCTAGGGCAATTTCCTTTTTTTTGATTACTCATTAAATACAGTGGTATGCAGGAATCAGAGGTGTGGGAGTGAATAAAAAATATGGCAGTTGATTTACGAATTGTAGACCAAGACTTCCAAGAGTCTAACACTGACAAGATGCAATTCATTCATGTGACGATAAACATCAGATGCGTGTTTATTTTCTTTACTGACGAGTCATATTTCCATTAGTTTCTGCTATACTCACACAAGTAGCCAATGATACATCTCCAGCTGATGGAGCACTTAGCTCTCATTTTAGTGTTGCAGTAACCTCTAATAAATGTTGGTTTATAATGTTTCATAAACTCTAGATTATAGATTTTTATGTAGAGGTCAATGTGGAGCCAGAGCTATTAAGTTTTGTTCTCTTCCTCTGTTGTGGTTATGTTTTCATGTTTTTTTTTTATTGATACCGCAATTCATTTCAAGGAAGAAAGCTCAGTTAGTTCAGTGATTTTTGTTACAACAACAACAACAACAACAACAACAACAACAACAATAATAATAATAATAATAATAATAATAATAATAATAATAATAATACATTCGTTGTTTACAGTGTGTAAAAAGCGTTAAAACTTTCGGGATTTTGTGTTTTTGTTCGTTACGTCAGAACCAACTCTCTTACGCTATTGGCCAACATTTTCAGAGATACCGTATTGTGATTGGCTACGTTTTTTACGTTCAGCTCTCAGCTTGTTTGCTAACTTTATTGTTATGTAGCTATGTGTTCGGAAAATTCACGTCTAATATGTTGATTTGTGATCATTTCTTTACACTTTAGAGACATGTGTCACTTCATTATTGCACCGTAATTGCAATCGCTTAATCGTTCTGGCTGTTTTGAGCCTTAATGCGTGTGTTTACAGCGGCGACCGGCTGAACATGCTAATAGCCGTGTAGCTTCGTGGTAGCTGGTTCTCACAGACGGTCTTGTTTAAAACTGACCTTGTCAACCGGAAGTAAGTTTAGGTGGGCTCTGTCAGAGTTATGGCATCGGCCAGGGTTCTGTGTTTATTTAATCGGAAGGTAGGTTTGAACAAAACATTAGCTCAGGCTCGCTGCAGCAGTGTGCGCTTCAGGCGAAATATCTGCAGCTCACCTTCACGACCGCAGAGCTGCATGTCATCCTGGGTCATTGATCAGTACGGGACTAATGGAGTTCTGAAGTACACAGAAGAAGTCCCTATTCCAACTATTAATTCTGCTAATGAGGTCATGATAAAAGTGATTGCCGCAAGCCTTAACCCTCTGGATGTAGCTATGAGGGGTAAGTCATGACCTGTTGTACAAACCCAAATGAAAATAGATGTCTGATTTGTCTTTAGACTTTTACAAACAATATATTCTCTGCTTTCTCTGTATTAGGAGGATATGGAGCTACATTGCTGAACCTAAGAAGAGATCCGTTATCTTTTATGAACAATTATAATGAGTTTCCACTCATTCTGGGTCGTGATCTGTCAGGTGTTGTGGTAGACTGTGGATCCAAGGTTAATCACTTTGCTCCAGGTGATGAGGTAAGTGCTTTGTTACACACTCATCTTTTAAAATATGTACTTATTTTTATAAATGGTGGAGAGGCTCATAATATGGTTGTTACTATTGGAAGCAATAATCTGGTGATACAGGATACTCTGGAACTCTCTCCCCCTGAGCCTGAGATCAGTGGACTCCTTTAAAAAGCAGCTGAAAACTCACCTGTTCAGGCTGGCTTTGGTGTGACCTTCATCACCCTCTCTTTGTTCTGCTCTCCCTACCTATTCCACCTTCCTCAGGATCCACTGATTCCCACTCTTTCCTATTCACTCTCTCTTTCTTTACATTTTTTAAACACAATAGTCTATTTTTTTGCTCATTTGAAATATATGTTTAATCATTTTCTAAATTCTTTTTTATATTTTTACATTTTTTGTTTTTGTGAAGCACCTTGTGATTTTATCATGAGAGGCGCTATAGAAAATATATTTTGTTCTTCTTCCTAAAGGGGAGATGATACAATATATTGCTATAATAAAAGTCAGATGATATTTGCAATGTTTAGGACTCAGTTTCATTGGAAAACTCAGGCTAGACACTTCTAAGGCCCAATCCCAATACTCGCACTTTCACCCTTGCGCCCTTCAGTTGCGTGATCCCAACCAGGGGTGTGAGTGCGTAGGGTGTCTCGATTCTCAAATGCGGAAGTTGATCACGCCCCTTTTGCACCCTTGATCCGCACTTCACCCAAATTTGCATCTATGTGGACTTAGGTGAAGTGTATTACCCACAATCCATTGCTGCAGGAGAAAAGGCTCAGGTGCCTTTCCTGAAAATATGTATTATCTAATGAAATTAGTTAATTTTAGGTGATTAGCTGACGCTCTGAAACTTTTAGACAAAGCTGCAATGCATGTAAATTTATTTCAAATAATTGGTTGTTTGTTTGAAAGTTATAAATAAAGGTTTTTAAAAAAAGTATCACCGTGACCAGCATCCCTGCATGCGTTGCGGTATATGACCTAATGCTCCCTGTCTCAATTCGGCTATTATTTGCACACTTGTGTACTACACACTCGAAGCCTTACTGCACACTCTCTCTAAGTGCACTCTGCTGAAAACCACAGGGCGCAGTGCAAGTACTGGGATTGGGCCTTAGATGCATTAAGTGTTATGGCAAGATTTTGTTCTGTCACATTTAGGGCGGTAAAAACTGCTGCCACCTAGCAGTCGGAGTTGGAATTGCTCCACACAAAAAATATGGTAAATGTTTGCATATCAAGCCTCCAAAAAAATAAAAATAAAAAACACACTGCTTTTAAATGACCAATTTGTTATCATAACACTAAATATTGTGATATTTCAGTGTAGCAATATTTTCATACATACCTACTTACTACAGTATGGTAAAGGATATTTATTCAAAAGTAAATATACTAAAACCTGTCCAAAGCTTCTAATAATTATAATAATATTCATGACTTAAGTTGCAAAACCAAAGAAAAATTGACCTTGAATGCTTTTTATTGGCATAATATCAACATGAGGGCAATAAAGCAACCCTAAACAATGTATTGGTAACGCTTCCTTTTACAGTCCCCTAATTACTAAGTACTTACATGGTAATTACATAGTAAGTGTATTATTGTTTCTGAGTTCTTAAACAAGTATTACCATGTAACGCAGGTTCAATTCTAGTTTTTATTTTATTAATCATTACCAGTAAATACTGCTTTACACAATAGTTACACTTTTTTTTTACAATCATACACTTTAATTACACAATAATACACTTTAGCTTACTATGTAATTACCATGTAAGTACTTAGTAATTAGGGGACTGTAAAAGGAAGTGTTACCAATGTATTCTAGTAGGAGGGTAACATAAGTTTTAACAATAAGAGATTAATTGTTTCAATAATAAATAAATACAAAGAGCAAATATGAGAAAAATTCCTGAGTCTTGTCTTAATTTGAACATAATTTTTGTTGAAGGAGTTACACTTTTCTTTGAAGTTATTTTTATTCACAAGGTGATATTTATAAAAAAAAAGTTAGTCCGGTTCATTAATCCTTTAAGATGAGCGGTAAGGAACAGAAAATAATTAAGCAATTTTAGGTTTTAACTTAAGTCACTTAGCTACTTGCAGCATTTAACTCGATTATATAATCACCTCTTCTGCATTTAGATGTTTAAAAAACAGAAAAATAACCTTTTTAAATGCAGAAAAATGTAATTTTCCTCCTTGGTAATTCCTTTCCTTTCACATATTTTTCCTCTTTTAAGACGTATTTTAAGCCCTGCAGCATCATCTTCTATTCTCCACTTGGCCCCTTTTCTCAGCTCTTTTTAAAGACTTTTGAATTTAAATAAAGATCTTTACTATCATGACCAAATATTTTTGCAAAATAGCTTCAAATGCAGTTTTCAACATCAACATTCACCCTGGTGTCATGTAACATCAGAGCAGAAAATCTTCTTTTTGCTCAGTCATTACATGAATCTGACTCATAATCATTACAGACGCCTGCTGGTCTGTCTCCCACTTGGCCACATTTCTGTGGTCCTACACACAGAGGCACACTTTAGCAAACTGGAGGGATTGTGATCACTATAATGAATTAACATAAACATTTTTCCATGCACACTAGTCTCATAACAGTGCTCCATCCATTTCTAGATGACCTTGGAAGCAGCTAATTATGATTAAAAAGAGGAAGAGCTGTTAAAGATGGCTTAATAGGTAGACTCAGACACCATGAATAGGTGGTTAATTTTAGCTGTGTTCACCTTATTAAATGTCCGCTAGCAGCACGCATCAAATTCAAATTGCTAACACTAGCATACAAAGTCCGAGATGGTACGGCTCCCATCTACCTGAATCCTCTTGCAAAGGCTTACGTCTCGGCCCGGCCGCTCCGGTCATCACAGGATCGTCGGCTAGCAGTGCCTACACCACACTCAGGACAATCCAGACTCTTCTCATGCATCGTTCCACAAATGTGGAATGACCTACCAAGCACTACCAGAACAGGAGCTTCCTTTTCAACTTTCAAGAAACTCCTGAAGACCCTGCTCTTCAGAGAGCATCTTCTAAACTAGCACCCTCCTGCACCCGCCCCCCCTCTCTACTGTCCACTCCTTGTTCCCTACTCTCCATGATTGATGCCAAGTTGTTGTTGTTATTGTTGTTAGCCTCAAGGGCAACATGCCGACTATCACTTGTAAGTCGCTTTGGACTAAAGCGTCTGCTAAATACATAAACATAAACATAAATGTCACACTTGTCCTTCAGGTGTGGGCTGCTATTCCTCCGTGGAAACAAGGCAGTCTGGCTGAATATGTGACCTTAACAGAATACGAGGTGAGTCTTGTACTTAAAGTGCATAAAAGAATGTTATTCTTTTATACAATTTTCAAGTGTAAGAAGTAGTCGGGGTTAAGGCTTGTCCAGCAGCTTTGGTTGTAATCACAGGGACATTTACATAGGCAACTGTTTATTCAGCAGCTCTATCTATTGCCTTTAGAACAACTGTGGTATCGGCTCATTGTGCATTTAAAATCACATCCTGTTAATATTTTATACTTTTTAATATTGTTTGGCTGGCGCTCTCTGCAGGTTTCGCATAAGCCAAGATCAGTGAGTCACATCGAGGCGGCGTCCTTTCCTTATGTGGCCAGCACTGCTGTGTCTGCACTTGGCCATACGGGGGGACTTTGCAGTGAAAGCTCCTCAAATAAAAGGTAAAAAGTCTTCTGATCCTGGATAGATTTGTGTTAGCCATGGCAAGCATCAGGGAGGTTTTTAAAGGGCAAGTTCACAGAGAAACTGTTTTACTTGTTTTTGAAATTTGATCATTCACTCAGATTTTCATATGCAGGCGTAGGAACACTAGTTTCCTGCTTGTAAACAACCCCACAGCAGCCTGCTGTAGAAAGTGCTAAGAACAAGCTAACACTAGCATGAGCCAAGTCTTACTAAATAAGCCACGAAGTAAAAAGATTCACTTTGGAGCAGTTGCAGTAGCAACAAAGCGAGGTCAACATCAGCCCATGATTTCATGTCCTCCTTCAGGAGAGTGCCGGCTGAGCCCACTTTCTCTCCGGTTTCAGTGTTTTCCTTCACCTTTAAAGATGTTACTCTCTGACTTTTGCTTCCAGGCTCCACTATGATGCCAACAAAAAAGCAAACATCTTTGTTTTTCTTCTTCTTCTTGTGTTTTTATTGACAGTCGGTAAACTGAAAAAGGCTAACTTGTTAGCTGCTGGCACAGAAAATAGCTTACAGCCATTAAGCTGGTACAGAGCACCTCCTAGGGCACCTACCCACTCCACAAAACAGTTTACAGTGATCCCTCGTTTATCGCGGTAGATGCGTTCCAGACCTGGCCGCGATAGGTGAAAATCTGCGAAGTAGGGACACCATATTTACAGTACAGTACTATATTGAATTATTGTATGATCACATTCTCTTTTTGTGGGTAAAACTCAAGAAAAAAAATTTTTACTTGGGTTTTTTAATAGTTTTATTACAAAAAGTGCATTTTATGATGAAATTGATGAAAAAAATAGGAATTTCTTGATATTTTGCATAGAAAAATACCGCGAATCGGTGAAAAATACCGCGAATTGGCGAATTTCCCTTGAGTAAGGCTCCAAAGAAAAAATCTGCGAAGTCATGAATCCGCGATAAACGAACCGCGAAGTAGCGAGGGATCACTGTAGTGCATTTTCTACCAATACAATCATTGAACCCCACTTTTAAAGGAATTGCTTAAAGTGTCACTTTAAACTCCTATTCCCTTAATTAGCCGCCAAAAGAAAATGGACGGGTAAATGCTCGGATCACTTAAAGCCTCACAGATCTACGTCACACGGAAAATTAGCATTCATAGACTCACCCATCATGGCTCACGGCTGAGGAAGGCTATTGTTGACTTTAGCAGCCAGGAGAGAGCAGAGCGCGTCTCGGCTAGTCAAAGCTAACCGTTAGCATTAGCAACTCATTAAGGCAAAACAAGGCAGAACTCCATCAGGCTTGTGTTACTTGTGGATATACAACATTAACATTGTACACGGAGGCAGTAAAAGAGTTGCGCTGCTGTTAGCCAATCAGAGGTGTGATGTTGGAATATTCCAAATCCCACCGTTTTCTGCCCTCATCTCCTCCAGCTACCTTCTACTTCCTAAAACAGGAGTGCCAGAGCTTTTTTCCCCCCACGTGGAACGACTCACAAGGCATTCACTCCTACCAGAGAGCACTGCTAATGTATTAAAAAAAAAATGAATGGGAGATTTAAGAAAAAACGAAAAGTTTGAAAGGAAGTTTTTTCCATTTCTTAAGTGTTCTAAGTTATTAATGCTATCTAAATCTTTCTGAACAACCTAAATAATTGTTTATGTTCAACCGGGCTAATAAGGTAACAGGAAGTTGTACATCAGATTGGCCCAAAAATGTAATCATTTAATTACTGATATTAAACACTTTTTATACTATGTTTGCCAATAGAAATGTTGTCTCTACTCATTAATCTACTAGAACATCTCTGTTTCCTGTCATTCAGAGAGTCCGTTCACCTCCTTTAGCCTAATTTCTTTTTGTAAACTTTTCTTAAACGAGTCATCTAGAAACTAAAAGAACCTCTTGTTGTTGGGCCTTCTCCTCCCAGAGTTTTGATCACCGGAGCGTCCGGAGGTGTCGGAACGTTCTCTATTCAAGTAAGTCAAGACATATTCCTGTAGCCATAGGAACTACTGACTCATAAACCGTGCTGCAGAGGCAAGTTGATGCACGTGTAATATTGTTTCCTTTGTCTACGTTCGGCCAGCTTTTAAAGGCTTGGGGTGCACACGTAACCGTTACCTGCTCTCAGAATGCTGAAGGCCTCGTCAGAGGTCTGGGGGCTGACGAGGTGGTGGACTACACAGCTGGAGATGTGGCCGAACAGCTGGAGATGATGGAGAAGTACGATTTCTTACTGTGTTATTAAGGACAACCAGAGAATAAAATCTTACGCTAAATCAAAAGGAAATTAGTGACAATGTTTAGCTGCAAGACACATGTTGGGTAAAAATCCAACTAATAAAAAAGAACTGATACAATTCTGAGGGGAACCCTAAACGCCCCAAAAGTTCTGACTCAGTTTCTAGTTTCCATGGAAACTATGATCAATCGGTTTTAATAATCAAAAGCGGTTTATTGTTTATGTTGAGATGTCAGCTTTTCCCCAGCAAGACTTCCTGAGGCTTGCAGCTTGTGCTCGCACCTCTAGGTTTGACGTTATCTTGGATAACGTGGGAGGCGATACGGAGCAGTGGGCGACGAGCCTGCTGAAGCCCTGGTCGGGGGCAAAGTACGTCACCTTGGTATCACCTTTACTCCTGAATACTGACTCCATGGGTCTTTTAGACGGGACGTTTCAAGCTGTTCTCACTCTCCATAACACAGCATTTCAGGTAAGACAAACTCGTCTTCTGTCCTCTTTAAACAGATTTGCTGATGCTAATCTTGAGCAATGCTAGGGTTGCATCATATGCGACATCAGGTTTGCTAACATTAACTGTCTAACCCTGGTTTCACACTGGAAACATCAGCGGCGTAAAACGGCAGCGGAACGGTTTTCTCGTGAACTTCAAAGCAGTCCTTTGCACACCGGGAAGGTCTTGGCTGCGGCACGGCTCCCTCACTGTGCTCTTTGCTGGACGCACAAGATCACAAAATCCCTCGAGACTTCTGCCATCCTCCTCGCTTGACTCGCGAGATCACAAGATCACGATTTGTTTATTAAACTAAAAAAGAAGGAAATCACATTTGATATCGCTATTTGATGTCATATATGATGTTTCTCTCTACTGTCAGGATTAAAGTAATGAAAAACACACGGCTGCACTTCTGGAATGATTCTGGGAGTAAATGATCCATTTGGTCACACGTAAGCTACATATAAATGGAATAGCATTGCTGCAGTACTTTTATTTTGAAAAGTACCAGGGATTTTACACTGAAACTGTGTGTGATTTCTTGTCTAGCCCAATGTTCACTGTGGAAATCGACATGTCCCAGACGGCGTGCCGCTTCAGGGGCTGGTTTGAAACACTCCATAGACTATAATTGGTTCTATTTAAAGCAGTGACGTTCTGCTGCCGTTTCGCGCCGCCAAAGCTTTCAGTATGACACCGGGGTCAAAGATCAACTCCCAATGTTGCATTTATAATACTGTGTTAAAGTTTGATGGAATTGGGAGTCAGCCCTTTCATAAGCAAACCAACAGTTAATTCCCAAGTTTTCAGCAACAATCTGACAATGGTCTCACATTTGCATTATACATGTCAGGTTATCTCTCTTCATCAGTTACAGCCATTTTAGTGCATTAAAATCTATGAAGCACAACGCGCAGCTAATTGCTGTCCTTGTGGTTGGGTTTGTTTTCACCAGGCACAGAGCAGCCATATTGGATCAGGTGGATTCCAAAGTTTAAAGGCATACTATGCAACTTTTTCATATTATTTAATCATTTTCTTGTGCCAGTATGTGCTAAAATGATCCTTTACAGGGTTAATGAAAGGCCAGTCAGACCCTCATCGCATGGGCTGCATGGTGGCGCAGTGGTTAGCACTGTTGCCTCGCAGCACGAAGGTCGCAGGTTCAAAACTCGCCTTTCTGCGTGGAGTTGCGTGTTCTCCCCATGCATGCGTGGGTTTCCTCCGGGTACTCCGGTTTCCCCCACAGATCACAACACGTCCTATAGGTAAAAAAAAAAAAAAAGTGTAAGTCGCTTTGGGTAAAAGCGTCGGCTAAGCACATAAACAACATCGCCCCCTGTGGCTAGAATATCGCACTTGCATCTTCAGAGTGCTAGTCTGGTTCCTGTTGGACTTAGTGAAGAGGAGCTGACATGCCTGGCGCTGCAATGTGTTTACTGCATGTTTTAGATCATTATTTGTTTGATTTAGTGATGAACCGCTCCTGTAGAAGCTGATAAAGGCTGGAGAGACGTTTCAGCTGTTAGATTAAGGTGTTAAAAAGAAGAACGCACAGCGAGAAAATAAGTTTCACTTTTGGTTTGGTTAACGGACACTAGGGGGTGCTAAAAGCAAACCAAACCGCAACTTATTCTTTTAAACAATTCCCCCTTTTTTAATCACAATTTGTTCATTGGTTCTTGTGATATTTCGACATTATTCAAATATCCGCACACATGCACAGATACAGACATCGTTTCACAGGGAGTAACGACGCTAATTGCTAGTAATCATGTAGGGCTGGTGGATATGGCGTAAAATTAATATCACAGTATATTGAGGATTTCACCTCTAATGATAAATGGATGATTACTACAGGTGTGTGCAGAAACAAAAGTTGTCCACTAGATGGGGCTGTCGCACGTTGAGTCACATTTTTACGTGACTCATGGTGATACAGCTTCTTAAAGGGACATGAACTCTGCCAACCTACACATCTTTTCATTTTTTTATTATCACATTTATTGACATGGGAAAAATTATCACGATAAGTCAGAAATTTCGATAACAATAAATTTTTGATTTATTGCCCAGCCCTATAGTCATGTATATTTCAGTGTTTGCAGAAACACGTCGGACATTACCGACGTGTTTTAATTTTGTCCGACGAAAAACTTTAAATGGTCGGACAGTGTGACCGACGTGCTTCTTTGATCTTGCCAAAATAAAGTAAACCTCTCGACAACCACACATTGATGATAATTAGCTCTGATTCCATGACTGCAGCAGCTGTAATAGATCTGCGCACCTTTAGCTTTAAGCAGCTGTGTTACAAACGCGAAGTCACTTAAAATCAACTATTATTGTTGTGATATTTGTGCTGAACCGAAACGCCAGACAGAATGGCATTTAAAGGGACATTAATGGAAGTTTGACAGTCAAAACATGTATAGAAATAATAAATTTCTTCTTCATACATTCTCCTGCAATGCCCTGGTCCTGTAGAATGAGCCCTGGCATTTTTACTGTGATTGCCTGTTTTTCTGTAAAATCACAGAAAAAGAGAGTTGCTTGGGTCGAGCAGGCTGCTTCATGCGTGTTCACGCTCAGGCATCGCCCGTAGCATTTGCTATCAGTAGCTTTAGCAGCAGAGTGAGGCAGTGCCACTTTGTCGCTGTTCCTAACGCCTAGTGATGAACCCAGCTACATTTCTGAGGACCCTTAGCTACTTTCTGTAGAACTTTCTTCTAGATATTTCCTGCAAATTAGCAACAAAATAACCATTTTCGCTCCAAACCGTTCATTGATACAAACGATACAAATGACATCACTGGCGCTTTAGCTCACCTATTAAGTCATCGGATTCTTGTGCAGAAAACTCGGGTTCGATTCTGGATGTGAACATAGTTTATTTAGAGTTTCTTTTTTACATTAATGGTACATTTTTTTTCCAGTAAGATGCTCAAATTTTTATTTGAGACTCACCGAACGGCATTGAATTCACAGATAAACCTTTGTCGACTGTGCTGAAGAGAAAGGTACATAACCAAATTATTTAATTAATTAGCTGCGCGTTCACCTGTCCTCTGTCCTCACACACACACACACACACACACACACACACACACACACACACACACACACACACACACACACACACACACACACACACACACACACACACACACACACACACACACACACACACACGACTGTCTTAGCTGTTATTTTCCTTAAGGAGTGTGCACGTACAGCATGCGCGCCTCGTGCACGAGCCTACTATTGAAGCTGCCGTTAAGCTTTTGGCCTGAGGGGGCAATCGCGAGCATAAAAATTCAAAACTCCGTAAAGTCCCTTTAATCCTAACAGCGGTTTACTAGAGTAGTTTAACAAACAGCTAAGATTAAGTTTCAGTTAAACTCTTCAGCACCGCGTCAGTGACATAAGCTACATCACTCACAATGACCCCTTATGAACCATTACATCATTTAGAAATGTCTTCATATGTATTCTGATGTCTCTGGTGTTTCATAATAATTTATAATAATTATATGATGAACTCTATAATCATTTCCTGATCAATTCTGTAGGTTTCTTTTCCAAGCAGAACTGTCCAATCCTCAGAATATACAATACCTACTGTTAAACAGTTCTGAGGACATTGGCCTACGTGGTTCAAAAATGTCCTGCGTGAGACACTCCCATGTTTGGCAGACGTGGCTCAAAAGTTTTCACACACACTGATATTTCTTTCTGATGTTACACAAACATCCACCCTTCTTTAAAAGCCGAATCCGCTTTAATCAGATTGTTTTTTTTCCTCTAAACCAAAGTGAATCCCTGAGCTGGGTGGAGCGCTGTAACTCCGAAACTGAAACGACCCGCTGGATCCTCAGTAGTGTGGAAACAACCTGTTCAGACACCTGGAATGTTTCTGCTACATCTTAGTTCTGTTCAGTTGATCAGATGAGTTCAGGGGCCGGGGGGGTGGGGGGTGGGGGGGGGGGGTGGGGGGTTGGGGGGGCAGTGTCACTTAATTACCTGAGCTAGCTTCGTAAACCTGACTGTGTGCGGGTGAAGAATACACAGAAGAATTTTAGTTAAGGTCTGGCTCATGAAAATCCTCTCTCCCCCCAGACTGCACATGTTGACATGATCACAACGGACGAACAGACTAGTGCTGGTTGGAATTTCCACCAGCTGAGGCAATCATTGCAGCACGGCTGCTCAGACTGCTCGTCTGCAGATGAGACAGTAAATGTGAGCACGGGCATTAGACGGGATGCAGGGTTTGTTGCTGAACAAGCAGTATTCAGTGTTCTTTCAGATTGACCCCACCCCCTTATGCCAGCATTTCTGTGTTCCTCGCCAAGCCGCTGAGCCCTTTTGTCTATGAGAGCAGCCAGCTGGTCAGTTTGGTGCATCTCAGCTCTCCTCCTGTCTCACAGCACAACTGAGCCCTCTAGTGTTCATTGTGCTGCACTGCTGGAAAAGAAAACTACCGATTACATCTCTTGTATCTAAAGTACTTTAAGTAAACATTGAGTATCATTGCTGAATAATGTTTGACTTAAGCAAAAACCACATTTCTCTTCTGTCATCCTGATGAAGCTAAATGAGATGTGAGCATTCACGGTCCTGAGGGTCCACCTGATTGGTCCAAAATAATGTCGACATCTAGAGTGTTTGTCAGTTTGACTTAAAATATTATATTTTAACTTCAAACTTTTTTTAAACATTTTCGTGGATGATGACATTGCAGCATTTTTTGTGATATTTGAAAAATATCCTGTTTGTGATCGTTTTAATAGAACCGTGTGAGCTGAAGAGATTGACATGTCAGTTTTTGGGCACTTTTAACAGGTAGTAATAATATGTCTGGGAAATTCTCTTCACCTGCTGAGCTTTGAAGTAAAAGTTTGTTGCTGTTTGAGTTTTAGCCTTCTTTTTTTTTTTTGGTCAAATTTTAAAATAGCTCACATAATCCTGCAAGATCTGTCGTGAGTGACACTCGTGAATTTTCAGCTCCAAATGTGTAAAACTCTCCTGTGTTCTCTTGTGTTTGCGAATGCTGATTAGCTGTCAGACGAAGATTTATGCCCAGTAAAGACTGCCTGAGAGATATTTTGGTAACGCCTCTGAGAAACAGACAGAAACTTAAACACAAAGTAATGTTTATGTAACAAGGTAATCCAAATGAACCCCATAATATCAGATATGCTGCTAGATTTAGTCAGAAATAAAATCTTTTGCTTTTTATTAGTTCTTTTGAGTACATTTTTAGTCATTTTCTAAATAAATGTGGTGGTTTATTGCACCTCAATACCTTTTTAATGATTTAGTTGCTTGTTGGATTTCTACTGGAATCAACCATTCACTCGATTTAAAATATGGACGAACCCTCCGCGCCGTCACCCGTAAGTTTCTGAAGAGCCGAGTTAAAGCCCAGCAGGTGGTTCCCACCACCGCCATCTTGGCTCTGTCGTACATCTCATCCGGAAAATACAAAAATGGAGCGGAGAGCGGGGTTCTGAAGGTGGGGACAGATGTTTGCCACCCTTTAAACTCTGGGCCGATGTTGCTACGAGCTAACTTAGCTAACCGCAGCAAATGAGCGCTTTTAGCCAGACAACCACGACTCTGCTGCCCTCTGCTGTCTAACCTGTAACATTTTTAATGTGACGTCGAGGCTGGGGCTCGGGGAATGCTAGCGCTGACGGCTCATCTACTACCTGTCAAATCAAAAAGACACACCCCTAAATATTCATAATTTAAGAATAATTTCATGCATTAAAGGGATATTTAGCAAATCAGTCATATTTTTAAATGATTTTCTTCAGCCAGTATGTGTTAAAATGACCCTTTACAGGGTTAATGAAAGGCCACAATCGCCCCCCTTTGGCCAGAATATTCCACTTGCAACTTCAGACTGGCAGCAACACAGCTGATGTGTTAAATTTAGTGATGAATCACGCCTATAGACACTAAGGAAGCTTGGGGAGACATTTCAGCTGGTAGATAAACGTGCTAAAATGACGAATGCACAGTGAGAAGATAGGTTTTGCTTTTGGTTCCACAAACAGACACTAGAGGGTGCTAAAAGCAAGTGAGAACTGCCTAGTTCCCCTTTAATTACATCTAAACAGATGAGTTACAACCAACATAAATCACCTCGCTCAAATTTGTCATGATGGTAAATGTGACCTTTTAAACCTTGAATGTTTTTAAGCTAGGCTGGAAAGTTAGCATTTGACATGGGAGCCAATAGGGACGTTCTACTTTCTGGGGCCAGCCCCTAGTGGGTGAAGTGGGAACTGCAATTTATGCCACGCCCACGTTGACTTCACTTTTAGTAGCAGTTTGCCCCTTGGAGTCAACGTTAGTTTCTTCTTGGTGTTTTTCTGTCTTTAGTTAGATAGTTGTGATTTTGTGATGCTGGAAAACCTCTCCATCATGTCTTAGCCCATCTGTCTCAAACTGTCTGATTTCTAATGCTTGTCTGACCTCCGTTTACCTCCCAGAGCATAACATCAAGTGGAGTGTTCTACAGGTGGGCCTTTTATTCTCCTGATGGGTTTGCCTTGGATGATGTCAGCAAGCTCGTGGATGCGGGGAAGGTATTTGGTTTAATGTTTATATCGTACATGCTTACCAACAGAGCAAGGGAAGTAAAAGTGGTCTCATTTACACACGAGTCAGCCTGAGAGTGGAGTTCATGCTGAGATGTACCTCGTACAGCTCATGCCAGGGATTCCCTAAATGCTGGCTGTGGTTTTTCTAGAGGTAGAGTGCATCAGAGACTGGTTAGTGGGCGGCGTGCGCGGCTGATAGCTGGGTGATCGAGTCCGGCGCCAGGGAACTGTGAAAAGGATTTTAAAAACAGTGCTGAGCAGAGCAGTCGCGGAAGCGTGCGGACCCTCCATCCTTTTGTTTCAGGGCTTACTGAACGCGACGCGCTCCCATCATTGGCGGGAAGCTGTACGCCTCACAAAACCCACACACACTCTCTGGGTGTCGTGTTGGCTGTCAGGAGTGTGAATGATTTCCAGTGACGCCACCGCGCCTTCCATTCATTGTTAGCAACAAGAGATGCTGACCAGAATAACAAGCCTGTAGCTGCTTGTGTTGTGGGATGAGGACAGGATTGTCCAGCCTCATCACATTCTGATGCGTCTCCCTCATTATCTCACTTTTCCTACTGTTGAAGCTTTATGATCGTCATTATTCACATCGTATTCGGTAACGCGTAGGATTGAACTGTTAAAACTGTTCTTATCGGGCTGCAGAGGTTCTGGTCTTGGATTTCCATATAGATGCTATCCATCTTCTTCCGCTTATCCGAGGTCGGGTTACGGGGGCAGCAGCCTAAGCAGGGAGGCCCAGACTTCCCTCTCCCCAGCCACTTGGTCCATCTCCTCCAGAGGAATTCCAAGGCATAGTCCCTCCAGTGTTTTCTGGTCTTCTCTTAGGTCTCCTCCCGGTTGGACGTGGCCGGTAAACCTCACCAGGGAGGCGTCACGAAGACATCCTAACTAGATGCCCGAGTCACCTCAACTGGCCCCTCTCGATGTGGAGGAGCCAGATAACTGAGCTTCTCACCCTACCTCTAAGGGAGAGGTAGGGTTGCGCTCCATCTTTCCCTCACTGAAGACCCTGAGATATTTGAGGGAGGACCTCATCCCTAACCCGGAGAAGGCATTCTACCCTGCTCTCAGATTTAGAGGAGCTGATTCTCATTCCAGCTGCTTCACACTGATGAAGCCAACAGGACCACATCATCTGCAAAAAAACAGAGACCTGATCGCCAGGTCACCAAAACGGATCCCCTCAACACCTCGACTGTGTCTAGAAATCCTGTCCAATAAAGTTACGAACAGAATCGGTGACAAAGGGCAGCTTTAGCGGAGTCCAACTCTCACAGCCTTTTTGGCTTGCGTTTGCTCGACGTGTTGCTTTTTGAGATCGTTTTGCCTCCTTCATGTTGTCAGACAGGTTCCACTGAAGTGAGCTTCATTCTTCCGGTCTGGCGTTAATCAGGCGTAGAGGAAATGAACTCAGCTTTGCAAAAAAATTATAAAAAAGGGGGAAATTACTCTTCCACTGCAGGGCAAGTTAGTAACTTCTACCGCTGGTCAGCAGCAACGGAGAAGTCCAACTTCGTTTATTCTTCCTTTCCTCCTGACAGGTGTTGATTTTAAGTTTGTGTTGCTGACATTTCCTTCGCTGCTCCATCACAGATCCTGCCAGTCGTGGAGGCACAGTTTCCCTTCGCCCATGTGCCTCAGGCTTTTCAGAAGCTGGAGGAGGGTCACGCTAGAGGGAAGACGGTAATAAAGGTCGCGGAGGAGGATGACAGCTGCTGCACAGAGTCTGCGGACTCGTTGCACGAAGTTCAAGGAGCGACCCGGCAGAACTGAAGAAGGGAACACCATCGCCAAGAGAATTACTCTTGTGATTCGTCTCACCTTTACAAAGCTGCAGAGGAACGCAGCAGACTGTGAAATCCTCCCCATTGTCAGATAAACACAAGTGTGACTTATATTTGTGATGAGGAAAAGCCAAAGGTTGATCTTGTTACACTTTTTGTAATTATCCTGTATTTATGTCTAAGAAATGACTCGCAGCCTCCAGATGTTTACCAGGCATTTAGCAGCGTTTTCCTGCAGCTGATGCAACATAAATTTGCATATTGAAGCGCATCTGTTATGCTTATCTCTGTGTTTATCCTCCAAAGCAGGCGAAACCCAATCAGCAGAGCAAGATTAATATGGTTTCACTTTCATTTGTTTTGCCTTTATGTGGAAAGCATCACTTTTAATGTTCAACAAACATTTGATAAATGGGAAATACAACCTGGATTGTTTTGTTTCCATCTTGTTATAAACCGTGTATTTAAAACAAAGTTATTGTCAAAATAGTTTTATTTATGACAACAAAGCAGCTGTGTTGTACAGATGTGATTAAAACATCAAAAAAAGGCAAATTGCATTCTCTTTGCACATATTGCATGCAGACAAGGGAAGAAACGGTAGTATGGCATCATTCAAAAAGACTCGAACGTAACACTGTTTAAATTATCAGGTAGAAACAGGTTCATTCAATGAAAATATCATCAAAAATATTACCAGAGGTTTCAAAATCTGAAGCGTCTTTCAAGTTCAGAGCCATTCAAACTTTAGCTTTGACCTTTTTAGAGTTTTTAACAGTTCAGCTGAAGAAACGATGCGTCAGACGTCCCGTTACAGGCTCATCCCATCTGCTCAGATGATCTCCACATCCCACCTTTGCTGTAGTTTGTTTGGATCGAGTGTGTTGAGAATCACTTGGCTTTTGTCGTAGTTGAAGCCGCCTGAGAGAAAGAAACGTGTTGTAGTTAGTGTACAGATCTCTCAGTGTTTATAAAAACAGCTGTTATTAAAGGATGTCTCATGGCAAGATTAGAACTGATGTTATTAATACTGATCACACTAATCAGGCATTTAATTTAGTTTAGAAAGTATATTTCGAACGAGAAGAAAAGAAAAAGCATAATGATTAAATTTAGCAAATAAAAAGAATAAAAATTTAACATGAAAAAGAATAATCCAACTTAGAAATAATCAATTTCATAATTAAGTATTATTATCAAACACAACCAGGAATGCAGCACCAGGTAACCTGTACACCGGTGTGCATCCGCTGATATTATTATGTCCACTAGGTGTCACTATATGTCAACAGTGGTGGAGAGGACATCCCCCACAAACGTTCCCCAAGGAGGCCTTTTGGTTTAGATCAGATAAAAATAACTAGTTTTAAACATTTATTTTTGTTTTTTGGTATGATTAAAGCTATGAATTATTGTTAAAACAAAACAAATACAAGTTGTGGGAGCCCAGATAGAAAATTGTTTTACTTTAAAAAAGAAAAAGTTTGAATAAAAAACTTTTTTTGACATGGATGCTCACCTTTGATGTCCAGGACGAGGTCGGGGGTGGGCGTGTAGTGGATGAAGCCTTTAGAGGTCATGCTCCAGAGGTGGGTCTGGTTGTCTAGCCCTGGCGTGAGCCCCACTCGGCTTCCAGCGATGGTGACGCTGCCACTGGGACTCAGGCAGCACTCTTCCAATAGCTGGTCACAGATCAGTGACAGGCACAAGCTTAAGTCAGTGATTCTGTCAGTCGTGGTGCTATTTGACCTCTTTCAGGGTGTCGACATTCACCATCATCATTCTCATGGTATATAAGTGGTACCTTGCAGTGCAGATGCCCATTGTAGTAGAACCAAATCTGCTCCAGTCCATCCGTTTCCTCCGTTTCGTGTATTCGCAGCATTTTTACATCATCCAGGTCGCCGGTCACCGACATCATTAACCCCGTTTGCCGGTTCCTTAAACGGAAATGAACTTGCTTCTGCACACACAAAGACATTTACATATTTAAGAGCTGGAGTCACTGCTCTGGTTAATTAGATTTTTTTGTTTTTGGACTCCGTTGGTCGGTTTTAGTTGCCTGAACTCACACTGAAGATGTTTGGAATGCACGGGCACCCTTTAGAAAGGTAAGTACGTAGCATGTTTGAGTGCTGGTGACGCATTTGGTGCAAACCTGTATGAGAGGGCGCAGGGATCCAATTTTCTGCCAGCTGCTGAACATGCGCCAGTCAGGAATCTCACCAGGCTTCAGCAGGATCTGAGCTCCCCGATAGTTGATTCCCTCGTACAAGACCCACCTGAGATGGAAGAAAACACTCCTCTAGTGGTGTGATCAAAGAAACCGCTAGGTCATCAGAAGCTCAGCAAAATTAGTCACCAGTTTCAAGCTTAAAAGTCTGTTTTAAAGAACAAATCTATCCAATAAGCTTACAAACATAAAAAAATAAAATAAAAACGAGTAGAAGTTGCTTTTTTGTGCAACACTTTGTAAAAAGATCAACTAAACTACGCAGAGCGTCTTGATCTCTAACATTTCTTTTTGCTTCGATCTAAACGGCCCATGCAGCGGGACTGTTCCACTTCCACAGACAGCTCTGACATGCTGCAAGCCCTTTTTTTCCCTCCTGCAGGGCTCACACCTACAGTCTGAATCTTGCACATCAGCAGCAGGTTTCCATAGCTGTCAGCACTGCCATGAACCGCGCTGCAATATCAAGATGTGCTGGCGCCGCACTAAACGTCCAGGATTTCAGAATCTTGTAAACATCACGTCTGAGCCTGCAGAAATAGCTCAGGGCATCTATCATCCTTTGTTCATCACACTAAAATATCTAATTAAGTGATTATTTGAGTAAAAATAGCCACTCGTGTGAAACTGCAGACATTTTCTTTGAAGAAACAACCTTTATCCAAGCTTCTTTTATCATCTCAGGTTCAATCATCTTTATTTTAATCTTTTAATTCAAGGGATTTGTCTGCCATTTAAAAGCTGTGGTATTATATTGCACAGGACATATGAGGCTAATGATAAGATAAGATAAGATAAGATAAGATAAGATAAGATAAGATAAGATAAGATAAGATAAGATAACCTTTATTAGTCCCACAAGTGGGAAATTTGTTTCGTTTACAGCCAAGTAAAAGTAAGGTAAAAGTTATGCAGCAGAGGGAGAAAACACTAAAATACAATAAGTTCAATCGTAATGAGATAAAATAAACTCAATACAATAGACAATTTATAAACCTTAAGAATGGGTTAAAAAAATGGTGGATGAAGAAAAGCTTCAACAAAAAGTCAATTTGGAAGCTGATAAAAATTTCTAAAATGTGTTTAGTTTTGGCCCCTCAGGGGATTTTAAACTACAGACGGATGTGCATGGTGAAAAATTATTCTGTTTCATGTGTTTCATGACTGAGAGAGGGATCCTTGACAGCACAGTGGGCTCCGGCAGAAACACACACATGCATCGACCTGTCACACACACTGTGTGGTTTCTAAATGTCAAATTTTCAAGAAAGAAAGAGAAAAAAAACTGCAATAAATCAGAGAGGCATGGGAGAGTAAAATGGTAAATGGCCTGTATTTGATATAGCGCCTTCTAGAGTTCTTGAAACCCCCCAAGGCGCTTTACAACACAATCAGTCATTCACCCATTCACACACACATTCACACACTGGTGGTGATGAGCTACAATGTAGCCACAGCTACCCTGGGGCGCACTGACAGAGGCGAGGCTGCCGAGCACAGGCGCCACCGGTCCCTCCGACCACCACCAGCAGGCAACGTGGGTTAAGTGTCTTGCCCAAGGACACAACGACAGCGACAGACTGAGCGGGGCTTGATCCTGCAACCTTCCGATTACGGGGCGAGCACTTAACTCCTGTGCCACCGTCGCAGAGACCAAAGGTGACATTGCTGAGCTGAGTAGGAGAGGTGTGCTGCAGACCGCTGAATAATATAATAAATCATCTATTTGTGACTATTCAGTGTTTTTTGTTAGCCCACAAATGACTAGAAGTGCGACGAAATGTGCGATGCATGCAGGACGGGAGCTAGCTTTAGTCTCACTTTTGCTAACACTTTCACACATTGTTATTTATCTGTCAGATTTTGGTTGTGAAAACAGGGAATATTTGATAATTACATTTTCTTTATCTATTGTTTTGTTTGTTTTAATCTCCGAATATATCATAATTTAAATATGATTCTGCAGCCAACTTTGCAGGTTGGTTTTTGTCAGATTTAAGCATCCTGTCTTCAAAGGCAGCCTTTATTCACACAGAAAAACACACACACACACGCGCACACACACACACACACACACACACACGCACACACGCACACACAGCAATGTACTCACATGCCTCCATCCACCAGCACAGACTGGACTCGGCCGCAGCCTCCAGCCAGCTGAAGGTTGACTGATCCTTCCGTGAGAAGTACCCTCTTCCCCCGCAGACCGCATCGCTCAAATAGAGTGATGGATGGCAGAGAAAACTCCTGCCAAGAAAGACAGAAAGCACATTAACAAACTGTGGAAGCTGCAGGTGATGCAGCTTATTTGAAGTTGCCCTGGCAACAGACCACACTCCAACCCCCGTGCTCTCTGGCAGATTCACAGTCTGGTTACTGTAAAGAACGACTGCTTTTCTAAATCGATGCTGGAGTGGTGATTTATTTATAACCTCAAGATACAAGATAAGCTCTAAGATATTGTTTAAATGTTTGGGTTAGTTGCATTTTCAAATGTCCATTTTTATTATTTTGCTTTAAATGAATATTAAACTCTTAATCTCTAAATTTGCTGTTTAAAATCAGAAAGTTATGTAATAGGACGCTTGATATTAGCTTTTTTTAAATCGATATACCAATATTGTCTAACTCTTAATTTCCAACACCGATTTATGTGGAGTCCCCCCTAATAAAAAAGGAAAAACTAAATAATTTAGGTTGCTAAAATTATATTTCTCCTATCATACAGCAGGACATCTAGGACAGCAGATCCTCACAACACAGAGAAAATCCCCACTTCCTCACAAGTTGTGTCAAATAAAACTAAACTATCTCAGGATCTAAACCTCAGATCTGTCATATTGTGACTTTTCAAGAGAGAGGAGATGAAGCAGAAGAGTTTGATGTATAAGATGTGCATCTTATCTAAAAGTTGGGTCATTAAAAGAGTAAAAACCAATTCCGATATTACATTTTATTGCTAAAATTGGCCAGACATCTCTAGTATGTAAGATCCATAGATAAAATTAGCTGTTGCTTAAAAAGTTATAAAGTGTAGTTTGTCAGAAGAAAACATAAATAACTTGAACAAGAAAATGCATAGAAAGAACACTGCCTCTTGTGGTGGCTGAGGGGCATTGCAACTGAATGCAAAAGCAGCATTTTTTTATAAGTCGAGATGCTAGTAGCATTGTGGCACAGCTAACCACAACAGGAGATTAGCAAAGTAGCTCTTTAAAAATCCCATGAATCACTGCATGAAATAAAAAACTAAGGGGGCGGGACATAAAACCAGTACTGCAGCCAGCCACTAGGGGAACACACTTTTGTTTAAGCTCTGAATTCTGCGTTTAGTTTATTATACATGTTCCTGCCAAACAGTCAGCCTATTCTAAGCTCCTGTTTATCTTCTGAAAACTTATTTTGAAGTGATATATTTTCCCAGAGGCATTGTGAGACATGATGTAGAATTAATTTAAACGTTGGGAGCTGTGCATGTAGTTCAAACCAGCTTGAATTTTATCCCCCCTGCAGCCAGCAGCCCAATTTAACAGCAGTTATTTCGACTTTAAAAAAGGGGGAAAGCACGGGTGCACTATAATGAGGGCTGCATTCCATTCCTACAGCATGTGCATGCTGGTTTTTTGGAAACAATGCTACTTCCTCTAAATTGAATGCGGGACTCTTTGATACACCTGTGCTCTCCTGACTCTTTGAAGGCCATAATAACCCCCCTTCCCCACATAGTTATCGCTCAACACTTTTATTTTTATTTGGGTAACTTGAAAACTAATTAAAACGGGAATGACAGCTTTCATTTTTCCACAGAAAATACTTGCAGCACATTAAGATGGGTTGCATGCTTAATAGGATTAGCAAGCATAGAAAAAGGTTGGGTGGATTTGTGTTAGAATAATAAAAAAATAAAAAAAAGAAGTGACTCACAAATCCAACGATTTGCAGGGACAGAATGGACGAGCCACTGCTGACACAGCCCATCGCTCTCAGATCTGGGTAGCTGCCTTCTTCTAACACATACATCTTCCCTGTGAAGTCCTGGCTTTCATATGCCAGCCAGCTGGAATCCATTTGCATAAACAATAGCACACAGGAACATGGAAAATGTGATTAAAAACAATTCAAGGGAGAACCTCTGGTTTTCCGTACATCATTCTGTACCGCAGGCTGATTTATGAGCTGTGTCATAATTAATAGGATGAACATCATGTTGCTTTCTTACTAATTAACTGAGCTTTGCAACTTAATGCATTAATATAGATGCTGCAGTGTAATATTTGTAGTATTCGTATTGTATTAATTAAAGTGCATGGCTTGTAGCAGTGATACCTGCTGCTAAAATCTGCCTTCAGAAGGTTGCAAATGTTTTCGTTGGACTTGGTACAAAGCTCACCTGCCAGCCAGAACCTTGCAGGAAGCTACGGAGAAACCATCCTGAAGGGACACTGCGCTGTCCTCCAGGACAAGGACAGAGCCTTGAAAACCCGGATCGGAGAAAAGCTGCACCTGAGGGACACAGATCACGGCATGAAGACTGAGTCATCTGCTCACAGACGTCACCAAATAACTGAACAAAAAACACAGAGGTTATTTTTCATGTTATTTTGCACTTATAACCTACCTTAAACTTGTCTGTGCTCACAAAATCATCCTGAAAGGAAAAGAAACAAGTAATCTGCAACAACTCTGCTGTAAAAGGTGGGAAAATATAAATGTTTTTGAAAAACAGGGGAAGAAAATAGTTTTTTCCACTCGTTATAAACTAAATCAATAGGAAGTGAATGTGAAGTATGGAGTCTGTTCCTGCAGAAGGTTTTATTGGTTTTAGCATCCTTTGGAGGTTTGCAGACTTTCAAAAGCCACATTATTATTTTCAGCCTAACAGGAAGTAGAAGGGTTGCATTTTAATAACGTTCATATTTATAAGAGAGCATCCTGCTCTGTAATTTTCTGCTCCTATACAATAATCAGCAAATCCTTTAGGGTCTCAAGTGAGTTGATTCTAATCCGATTTGTCCTTTTCGTTTAATGTGCATCGTAAACATTTTTGGAGCTGCTGTTAACCTTAGGCCTGAAGCTGGATCATAAAAATGGAAGAATCTGTCGACCTCATCAAGGCCAAGCTTAACAACCTGGGGCTCTGTGGATTTTACGCACTCAGGAGGAAATCTTTTAAATCCCCATCACAGTGATGGACATTCTTTATTTTTTACTCATCAGCCTCATGTTTTATCATAAAAAACTGAAGTGAAATGCTGCATCAGTTTCTAATTGCTTCCTACCCCTTTCAGAGGAAGCAACAAAAGAGCTTAATTTCATTAAGCGTTCACAATAAATATGATCCGACTCAGAACAGAGGTATAATGTTAGTTAGTTTTAGATTCATTTTCTTTTCATCAGTATTTTCCACATTTTTTTTAATTTGTCCTTGATTATCAAAAAGCAGCTCTAGTGAAACTTAGCAATGTAAAACAGCAGATGATTCATCATATTTCTATAGAAAATGACACATTTCAACAGTCTTGTTATTTAGATTTCTCTTTGGAAATTTAGTTTGGTAAAACTGCATTTAATATAATTTCTGGTGAAAATTTGACTACAACTCTGAGCATGAATTTGGTGTATAAAACGACAGTACGTATTCTTTAAACGGGGGCATATTATGACTTTTCTCAAGTTAAAATAGTTCTATGGTTATGAAGTTCTTTGCACAAAAACCCTCTCACATAAAGCGATTCCTGCATCTTTGAGCTGTGTCAGGGCTCAGTTAAAAAAAAAGAAAAGCTAACACTAGCCACGCCCACCCATCCCTGCTCGGCTTGCTATAGGCTGAGAAACTCTGATATGCGCGAGGGCTTTGAAGTAGAGCCACTGCTCTTCCAGCAGCAGGTCTCACCTCCAGATGATAGAGGTTTATATGGTACCGTATTTTCCGGACTATAAGTTACACTTTTTTCATAGTCTGGCTGGTCCTGCGACTTATATACCAAAGCGCCTTATATACCAAATTATGTATACCGCGCTGCTGCGGGCCGGCTCCGGTCCAGGTTTCAGCTCCTCTGCCCCGCTGGGAGGGGTTAAACACCGCCATCCTCTGCTGGAGACCGTGGCGTGCTGCTGCACCCTGATTGTTTATTCTGTTATTGTTACCGGCACTTGTCTTGCAATGTGAAATGCTTGGTCTCAGATTTTGTAAAAATAATAAAATTTCCCCCCAAAATGCGACTTATAGTCCAGTGCAACTTATATATGTTTTTTTCTTCTTCATTATACATTTTATGGTTGGTGCGACTTATACTCTGGAAAATACGGTAATTTCCACATTTGTGATGTCACAAATGGGGACTTTTTGAAACTGCTCAATTTATTTGCACAATTCCTAAAATCAGTGACAGAAGACTGATGTTTTTTTGTTTTTGTTTATAGAGGCAGTAGAGATCCACATAGCAGTAGAAAAGGATGCAGAAGGAGAATTTAGCATATTTTGTCCCCTTTAAAAGCATCTGCTCATCATTTTGTGGTTTGCAATCAAAACATTTTCACTATGAGTCACCTACATGATCCACGCTTTAGTCATGTACGTTCCTGTTTTCCTTTCTAAACCGGGCACATGAGTTTATTCCTGATTTACTCCAAAACTTCCACAATTCATTCTAAATAATCGATTATGTCACAAGTGTGAGTGCTGAGATTAGTCCTGATATAATCTAGAGTGAGGTAGAGTTGCCAGGGGAAGTCAAAAGTTCTCAAAGTGTGCAACTTGAGTAAAAACACAGACTATTTTAGCAACTGGATGTAAAATATCACAGTTTCTGGACCGTCTGAGTAACACCCAGGCCACGTTTCCACCAGAGCAAAACAGTGAGGCGTTGTGGTTTCCTTGTGAGTCACCCCTCTTACCAGCAGGACCGGCATGGCAGAGCCAACTCTGTGCTGCAGCGCCCCCCAGTCCTCCGGGCTTCCATACAAGCCTTTCTCCAGGATGTAGGTCTCGCCACTGAAGCCTGGTTCTTCAAACACAACCCAGCTGAGAGGGAGTGAAAACAAGAACACAGAAAGCGGTGCACGATTACTCCATCAGAAGAGAGATTTATCCACTTTCATTTTATTTTAATCAGCAGAGAGACACCTTTGATGTGGCCACAATTCCTTGGAAAGAAGAACCGCAGGAATTCAGGCGAAGCTGTGCAAATGCATCAGAAAAGCCAACAACTCGGTCTGGATCCGAGTGCATAGTAGCTTCCCACTTCGCAGCGTGTCAGCATTTGTTGTCTTGGCAAACGTGGCGGGTCTAAAGTGGCTGAAACCTTGTGTTGCTTTTGTGGATTCATGATGTGCAAGGGTACAAACAAAGCCTCCCACCGCGAGTCCAATTCAAACCACAGAGCCAATCAGAGGAACACGTGGGTGAGGCTAGCAGTAAAACCCTTCCTGCTAAAGAAGGACACAGTGTTCCCCTCCACGTTTGTTGGATTCTCCCATGGGAAGCAACAGTCACCAACGCATGTTCTGCATTTCATTTTCCTGATTTGCTTCGGATTTTCTTCCTGCTCTTTGCTTTTTTTGGCTGATCACAACATAAACAAAACCAGACATGTGCCATTTAAGTAAAACTGAACTTTCCCAACTTTCCCGAGCGTGAGGCAGGACAATCACACCCCAACAGGGAAGTGATGCGTGGAAGCTTTAAAACATTAGTGAGCTCGCGTATCTGTCGAGGCCTGTCTGTTTGGGTGTGGCGGCTTTTGCCGTTACACCTGGGCACCTTTAAATGGCAAGAAACCAACACGAGAGGAAGCAGGAACTTTGGTCTCGACTAATGCAAAGGTTGCAGGGTTGGAAAAACACTGGAAGTTTTGCATATGAAGGGATGAGACGTGCCTTCAGCAAACGCAGAAAAAAGTACTCACACACCACCGAGGACATCGATGGACTGCGTTTTCATGCCGTAGCCTGTGTCGTCCATGTTGATAACGGGCGCCGTGAGGTCAACGTTCACACCGAGCTTGCCAAAGTTTTTATCGGAGAACATTTTCATGAGAGGGGACAAGAAATCCTACAAGAGAACAGGATAATTAGTGCCAAATGGAAAAATATATAGGACATGACAGATTTAGTGAGACAGGGGTTTTCAGAAATGATCTCACTTGAGGAGCAGGACAAATTCTCAGCATGCCACAGGGCACCAGTTACATTTTTTTGAAACCCCCAAACACTCAGCTGAACCTGAAACGTTTGTTTGAAGCGATGCTTCAAACTGTTGTTTTGACTCCAGCGCAGCTTTGGGATTTAACATTTTAGCCAATAAACCAGTTTGTTTTAGAAAAGCCGAACATCCGAGAGCTGCGGGAGGGATTTTTCTTTCATCGATTTCCATTTGTGGATTTCCTTTGTTTTGTATTCCATATCTGAAGAAAAGTAAACCCCCCCGCACACAATGCTCAGATATTTGATTGCCCTGCAAGACGTCCAAGCAATTATATTGTGAAGTTTATACCCGCGGTTATTGGTTTGGTTTCCCATGGCGATGAATTGATTTATAGCAGAAGGCTGAGGAGCTTAGTGATTGGTGCGCTGCAAAAATAATTGCACCCTTCTCTTTTTTTTTACACCAGCAGATGCAGAAGTAGCGCAAAAATACAAATTAATGATGGACCCCATGTATTCAGCCTATAATATATACACCCTCTGTCCTTCACGCACAAGGCTGAGCTAAACTAACAACTTCAACAGAATGTCTTACATACTGTTTATAATATATTGGTGTATTTATGGTAACTTACAGAAATAATCGGTCGCAGTGACAGAAGCTCAGCGCCTCTCCAGTCGCTGCAATCCAGGTACTCTCCTTCCTCCAGGATGTGCTGCTGACCCTCAAACCCAGGCTGGCTGTATCCCACCCAGCTGCAACAGGAAAAAACACGTTGATGGATTTCTCTTCAGAGCCACATTGGTAGATTTAAACCACGTTGCATAATGAAAAAATATGTATTTATTGAAGTTTTGTGTAAACTTTGCTCAGAGCTTCAAGTCACTAAGAATAGCACGGTGAGACGGAGACTCACAATCCTCCAATAATCTTTAATGATCCAACAGATTTCAGGTTGTTTGTGTCAAGGTTCGCTCCGTCTGCGGCGATGCCTCCTCCTTCAGCCTCGCAGAAGCTGAAAACATCGCTGTCGATTTCCAGAGAGGAGCCCTCAAAGCCAGGCTTCTCGTACACGACAGCCTGCGTAGAGGAACCGACATTATTCCATGGTGGATTTGAACACAAACCATAAAGACTTTCTGATGTGGGAATAGAATATTCAGTAGATGTAATGTATTTACCACATTTGTGCATAATATTTTACACATTGCGTAACAAATTAGTCATTTTCCCTTCATTGTCTTGCTGAATGATAGTACAATCTGCTCCTTTCTATTAATCTCTAATTACTGTGGCTCCTTTTCAAAAATCCACCACTTTATTTTTATTTTGGCTAAAAAAATGCAAACAAAAAACCAAAAGTTTTTTTTTATAAAATGTGTTTCTAATATTCAAATGAGCCATATCATAGAAAATCCACTTTTTGGAGCTTTTTATGATGTGATATTGTCATTTCCTCATGAGAAATACCCCCAAACCCGTTTTTGGCTGCATTCAGACGTTTTTCTGCCTCAGCTTCAATTTGGTCAAATTTTACTGCAAACTGAAGAAATTTGCCCATTTCTCCTCCCCCTCAACCTAGTCTGTCTTGAAACTGGGATATTCTGACAAATTGCTTTTGCATTGGGGGAAAAACACCACCGTAAAAACCATGTGTCTTGTCTATAAAGATGCACGTAACGACCAGCATGTGCACAGGATATGTGTGTTGTGTGTCAGGCAACTATTGTCCAGTAGGAGACTTGGTAGTCCAGTGGATAGTATGCCTAAGCAGTCACTTTAACCGCTGGACTACCAAGGTCAATACAGCAGTGGGCTTGCCCAAGACGCTGTTGTAGGTGTGACATGTTTAGCCGCATGCTGTCTTTCAACCGCTGGCTGTCTAGGTGGTGTCCTGAAAACAACGTGGGCTACATTGATAATTGGAAAACTTTTTGGGGAAAACCTGGTCTGATGCGAAGAGACGGCATCCATACCTCTTTGGATGGAGCAGCTCTTCTTTCTAGGAACATGGCCAGTTTTATTAGTCCTCCATGACAACCCAGGGTCCAGACCAGGAAGCAGAGTCGTAGTTTAACCCACCCCTCTGCAGCTTCTGTACTGATACACACCCACTACCCCATAGAGACAGTGTCCTGCCCACGGCCAAAATCACACAGATTAAATATCAGGCTTAATAAAGCAAATCATGGAAATCTCATAAATATTAGAACAAATTCAACTGAGTAGAAAATTAGAAAAATTAAATGCAGGTTGTTGAACATTAGATCCATTTTTTCTAAGACTCTGTTAGTTAATGACTTGAGTTGTGATAATCAGATTGCTTTGCTCTCTCTCACAGAATCCTGGCTGCAGCAAGAGGACTATGTTAGTTTAAACGAGGTGACTCCTTCAAATTGTTTAAATCATATTGCTCGAAGTACAGGGCGAGGAGGAGGAGTAGTAACCATTCTTCATTCAGACCTATTAATCAACCCCTTACCAATTAATAGCTACAGTTCTTTTGAACACCTTATTCTTAGTTTTCCTAATCCAGATTGCAAAACTGTAAAACCACTCTTGTTTGTAGTTTTATATCTTCCATCAGGCCCTGACTCTGATTTTTTATCTGATTTGGTGCTAAATACTGAAAAGGTCATTGTAGTGGGGGATTTTAACATTCATGTGGACATTGAAAATGATAGCCTCAATGTAGCCTTTGGTAATATCTTAGACTCAATTGGTTTTACCCAAAGAATTCATAGCTCCACCCACTCCTGCCATCATACATTAGACCTTGTGCTGACTTATGGCATAGAGTGTGAGGAAATAATATTTCTGCATAATCCAGTCCTCTCTGAGCATTTCGCTCTCAGACTGCAGTTTACTGGCGGTTCCCAGAATATCTAAAATGAGGATGGGAGGCAGATCTTTTAGTTATCAGGCTCCTCTCTTGTGGAACCAACTCCCTGCTTTAGTCCGTGTGTGTGTGTGTGTGTGTGTGTGTGTGTGTGTGTGTGTGTGTGTGTGTGTGTGTGTGTGTGTGTGTGTGTGTGCGTGTGCGTGCTCTGTCTTCTTGATCCCCAGTGAGTCGTGGCGAATGGCTGTTAATATACCGAGCCAGGATCCTCTGGAGGTTTCTTCCTGTTAAAAGGGAATTTCCCTCTCCACTGTCACTGCATGCTTGCTTAGTATGAGGATTGCTGTAAAGTTACTGACACTGACTCGATGCAATTTGCTGGGTTCCTTATATAGGAAACTTTTTTTCTGACTGGCTTAATGAACTGACCTGTATTGGAATGTTTATTATGTGAAGTGCCTTGAGATGACGCTGGTCATGATTTGGCGCTATGTTACGTCCCTGACAGGAGGTGTTAAAATGTTGAGGGGGTAACATAAGAATTGCGAAGGTGGACTTAAAATGGGTTTAATTGTTACAAAAGTTTCTAAAAACAAGTGCAAACAGATGGCACACAATATTAAACTAATGCCAAACAAAAACTCTCAAAAGGTTAACAATAAAAGATCAATTACCAACATTTAAAAACACCTGGTTAAAACTTATTCTAAATGTTTTACTGAAACAGAAGGCGTTTAAAATCAGAGTCAATAAAATTGCATCCAAGTTAACCTTCAAAACGATCCCTCTGGGTCAGTCAGAGCTTTGCCCTTTTAAAAGCTCATCACTCAGAGTTAAAACTTTAAAAGTTAAAACTCATCACAAACAAAGGGGTTGAAAACAAAATGAGGCCTGGAGGACAGCAGAACCCCTGCACTGCTGCCTCCCGGACTGCAGAAGGCACGGCCTTTTTATGCCAGCTCAGCTGTGCTCCTCAGCAGCCTGGAAGAGAGGAGGAGGAGGGGCGGTGTCAGGCTGATCACCAGGGCTAGGTGATCCTGGCTCCTGCATCCCAATGGCCAGGATGGATGCTATATAAATAAACTTGAATTGAATTGAATTGAATTTTGTCAGAGTGGATGTGGGTGGAGCTTTGCTGAAATGAACCATTTTAGTTCTGAGTATAAATTTAGGCTGATGAAAATAACTTTTATTTATGATAAATGACATCTTAATAGTGCCAACCGTAATATTTGATCAAATATTGTTCCTACCTGTTCTCAAAGGTCTAAAATGCCACGATCTGGTAACTTTAAGGAGCGTAACCCTAATCCTAACCCTGTATAAAATACATATTCATAATCACGGTGCTAAACATTCCTAATCTGACCTCAATAATATATAAAAACAGAACATTTTAGAGGGAACTTATTCATACCTTGACTTCATTGGGATTCTCCACTTTGAATCCTCCCTGAAACAAGAAATCAGTCATTTAGTTTATTGTAGGAGAACAAAAATGCATCAGAAACTATTTCTTGTTCCTGCGACAGACCTGGACGCGTTCACACAGAAAAGAAAAATGTGAGTGGAAAGACCAATTGCTATCTACAAAAGGCTGCTAATTAACCTCACCAAGACAGTGCTGCTGTATCAACTCTACAGCAACTCTTTTTAATTAGAACCAAAACACAGCAGAGGAGGACTGGAACGTTGTTAGTTCTGCAGGAATTCAGATGTTTTTTTATTAAATTACTAAAATATATCATAGAAGCCTTGGTTTATACTGGAGGAAGCACATAAGCCCTTCTACAGCAATTTTCAGCATCTAGAAGCTATTTAGTGCTCCATTGTCTGCTCTCAACCTGATAAAAAGATTAACTATTGCTGAAACTGCGAGTCAATCTTTCTTGTCCAACAGTACCTAAACCCATAAATGGGATTCTGGAAGAATGGACAACAATTACCATAAACACACTAAACTTCAGCTCTTAAGCTCATGTTCCCATGGGCCAGGTGCTTGTTGTTTAATGACCTCAAATTCTGCAGAAGCCTGTTAATTAACCATTGATTTAAATAAACGGTGCTTCAAAAATAAAAAGTGGCCGGAACACCCGAATTTATGGATTTGGTGGAGTTTCCCAATAAATATAGAGACACCAGCCTGGAGAAGCTTCATTCCAGCCAAAATCTTATTAAAATAGCCCAGAAGTAAAAGCTTTCCTAATCGACTAGCTTTAGTTGGAGAATATCATGAACTAGCTTCAATGATGCGCATTAATACTCACCATTTTAAGGGGTCTGAGGGATCCTACGAAGGGCGAAGGAAAGCCCCAAGCCTCCGGAACAGGAAACACCCCTTTTTCCAGAACAGACACCATGCCTTCGTACCCTGGGTCACTGAACAGCAACCACCTGAGGGAAGAAGAGAAATCAGTATTTTACTTTTATTCATCAGGACAAACGATCACATCAGTTAAAGGTGCGGAACACTGAAAAACCATTCTTTAATGATTATTTCTGATTAGAAATGGTCACTCTACACCTATATCCTGCATTAGCCGCTGATAGAACATAGACAGTGAAACTCTTGGGTTAGAAAATCCTGACAGACGTCACTATGTCACTCTGTCACTTAACATTCATGAACTCACCCATCTTGACTCACAATGGGGAAGGCTGTTGTTGATTTAGCGTCCAGGAATCATCAGAGAACGTCTCGGCTAATAGAAGCTAGCCGCTAGCACTAGCAACACAGTAACCTCCTCCAGGCTGGAGTTATTTGTGGGGATATAACGTAGATGTCACAGAGCAATTGCATTGCTGTTAGCCAATCAGGAGTGAGATGTACAAATATTAGGAAAAAGCCCTCCACAACCTGCTGTGACAAGCTCTCCTTTGATGAGGCGCATCTGAGCTTTTATTCCTCCGAGTACGACTTGCTAGGCTTTCATTCCTGCTAGAGACCACTGCATTGCTCTGATTTAACGAGTGTTCCGCACCTTTAATGGCTGCTAGGAGCTTGAAGATCACAGAAAGTCGTGTGGTTTTTTATTTTTAGTAAACAATCTAGAAGCTAACCATTAAACAGGGTAATTATGTTTTCTATGAAACTTATAATGAAGATACTTGAAATCTTCATCCTTCTCACTGTGTGCATCTTACATCAAGAGTTAAATCAGGATTTAATTTTAGATCTCCCTCAGATATGAGTCATGAAGCTACAACGCGAGAGCAAACGTTGTTTGTTTTGGATTAAATGCCTGGGGAATGGCATGCTTTGGTTTAAAGAATTTTTCTTCCCTTCTATTTTTTACATTTTTGTCAAGCGTGGGCAGATTTTGTTAGAACTATGCCTGCTTTATGCCGACATTTTGAGCACAAGACAATGCCTCATGCCATTTACTACATCTGACCTTCTGGCAGGAACAATGAAACCCATTTTGTCCAACTGATGTTGGATAAACGATACCGACGGGATGGCAAAGTCACTCAGCGAACAGGCATGCAATAAAAGAAGCCACTGCATAGCTGTAAAGTCAACAGACGGCTACATCTGGTGCACAGCTGTCTCCACTTGTCACAGGACATGCTCCACAGCAGCACGGCTGAGGAAGAATGACTCGTAGTTATCTATGGAACAGAACCGAGCTGGCACCTGAGAGCAGTTGCTTTCCAACCCGTTTCAAGACTTGCTAAACGAATCTAAAAAAACACAATCGTTTGTAAAAGTTGCCAAGAGAAAGCCACAATAGTAGCTTTAGGTGAGCAAAACTCTATTGCCGTTTATTCCCGTCTAGGGCAGGGCACGGAATCTTCTGAATGCTAACACGTCTCGTGTGAAAAAAAACATTCTGCGTTTTGACAAGTTGGATCTTCTGTCTGTTTCTCACACTCGGGTCTAGTCTCCACCTTCAGACGTTTACGACGTGCAACAGCAGGACAGACATTCCCCAGCTTGCAGACGAGTGACGATCGAACCAAAAACAAACACAAAGAAACAGTGTAATGATTATCTCTCTCTCATCAATAAAAACATGATGCCCGCTCTTTACCGAACCACCAAAGGCCTGATGAATAATGAAAAAAAATCAGAGAAAAACTGGGAGCGTCTCATTAGTTTGTCTTTTGGCACCTGAAGCCTTTTTTCTTATTTACCCTAATAATTCAGTTCACCTCCCTCTGTTTTATTTTCAACCATTTCCTTGGCAGAATCAACTGAATAATGAGCACACGCTGCAAAAATGACAGAAAAATAATTGATATGCAAATCTGAGTGTTCAACAACAGCCTATGGATTCCAACCGCCATATTTGTGGGCTCTAGAACAGATCTCTCTTTTGGTCTACAGGGAAAGAACAAGCCCCATCTGTTCTTTCTATTTATCAATCAGGATTGTTTTTCATGCTTTTGCAGCTACAGATGTGTAAAGGTTTCACAAGTTTGCAAGAAATCTCTTAGAGGTGTTGAACACTTGTTTAATCACATTTGCAGTTGGTTTTGGTAGGAATGAATGCCTTGTAAGTCGTACTCTGGGGGAACAAAAACACCAGTGCACCATTATCAGGAACTAGAAGTGAGCCACATCACAGCTGAGCTTCAGACGCCAGGTTTAGGAGTCTTATTTCCTGATTCTTGTACATCTCGCCTCTGATTGGATAACAGCAATGTGACGCTACCACCGACTTACAAGGATGATGTTTTATCTCCACAAATATCACAAGCCTGGAGGAGTTCTGCTGTGTAGTGGAGTTGCTAGTGCTAATTGTTAGCTTCTACTAGCCAAGATGCTCTCTGCTGTTTGCAGGACGCTAAAGCAACAACTTCCTTCCTTGTTGTGAGCCAAGATGGGTGAGTCCATGAATGTTCAGTGACAGCGTGACGTAGATCTGTCAGGTTTTTCAAATCCTAGACTTTCAACATCTGTTTTCTATCAGAAGGTAATGTAGAAGTTGGTGTAGGAGACTATTTTTAGGTTCAGCCTGCGTGAAAAACTCAGAGTGACTGATCATAATCAGAAATAATCATTCAAATATGTTTTTTCAGTGATCCGCAGAGGTGTGACATTGTGGCGTCATCAAGTCGTCTCCATGTCATGTTTTTGCTCTGCTCAGCAATTAAACCAGGTGATTTCGAGCAGCACAGTGAGTGAACCTGGTTCAGTTGCTGAGCAGACCAAAAACATGACATGGAGATGACTTGATGATGCCATAATGTAACACCTCTGATCCGCACCTTTAAATCAGACCGGAGGAGTTGAAATGTTACGTTTCATCTATTCAAATCCTCTGTCTCAGATCAGGATTTCATCTCTACTTTGTGCACATGATGTGGTTCTGTTGGCGTCTTTAAGTCATGACCATCATAGTTTAGTGGGACAGTTTGCAGCTGAGCGTGAAGTGGACTGGATAAAGTCAGCCCCTCCAAGTCTGACGCCATGGACCTGAGCTAGAAAAAGGTGAAACTCCACTCTAGGTTAAGAGTCAAGTGGAGGAGTTAAAAAATTGCCAGATGAGGAGCCAAGGCTTCCTCCATAGGATGGTCAGACTTGGCTTTACAGACAGGATTAGGTCATCCTAATTCTTCTGGAGGAAGTTAGTCGGAGAGCCACTGCTCCTCCTCCTCGGAAGGAAACAGCTGAGGTTATTCAGACATCTGATTAGGATCTTTGGGGAAGTTTTCCCGTCACATCCCACTGGGATGACACCCATGACAGACCCAGGATTCCTGAAGGGATTATATATGTCCTGTCTTGCCTGGGAGTCCTTTGTGGTACCTGAGGAGAGCAGTTCTAGGAGGAGAAGCGTTTGGATTTTCCTCCTTGATCTGTTACCTCTGCAACCTGACCGTGGATGAGCAACAGATAACAACATTCCCACTCAGCTGTACTTACACCCCAGAGTGCACTTGGATGGATGCTGTATTCAGCGGGATGCCAAATGAGCCCGTCTCTACAGTGTCATCGTGGTAAGGTGTCACTCTGCCTCGGCCCTCTGGTTCAGTAAAAAGATCGATGTGGGGGATGCTGTAATCCTACAGAGAGGAGGAGAAAGAAAACAACAATTATCAGCAGCAGCCACTAGCAGAACTCAGGTTATTAGCTGAGTCACAGACTTTCATGTTCTCGAGCCTCAAGTGAAAACTGGAAGGCAATTAAAAGTGTGTGAGGATGTTGTTAGAGACAGCAGGGGGAGTTGGTAAATCACTCACCCTGACAGCCAGTCGGATAGAGCCAATGGTCATCGGTGGAATGTTGTCTGGCTCCGTTTCGGGTTCAACCCACATGTTTTCCAATTCAGTGTTCCCCTCTTCCAAGGCGACGATCCGTCCCTGAAAGTCGGGCTTCTCATAGAGCAGCCAGCTGCGTTTTAAACATAATCAGGGAGCAGCTTAGCTTCCATTCGCTTCAAGATGAATCATTCTGTCTTTGCAGGTGAGATCTGATTGTTTTTCTCTTTAACTTTCACATTTCTGCTTTTATTTCATTGAAGGCAACTCAACCACATCTACTTATGTATTTGTACTTCATGCCTTTCATTATATATTCATCACTACTACTGGGAGAGTATTAATGCCCTGCAGCAATCGGCAACACCTTGAATATTAAAGCCTCAACTGTGGTGCAAAGTCGTGCTGCAGTTTGCACTTGTGCAAAAGCACAAGAAGGACTATGCACGTGTAAGATTGCATCTTTGAGTGAACAGACTGCAGGATAATTATTACATTTGAATTTAGAAATCTAGAAGCTCAAGTTGGTTCACGCTGAGGTTCATATGTTCAGTTGTAACCAGATGAGACCAGGTAGAGGAAAACGTGGTTTTCTTTAACAAAACTCAAGGATAGGCATTGATTTGTAGATGTTGAAATGAAGAGACCAGCTTTTATTAAGCAATCAGAGACTTGGGAGGTAGAAAAGCATTAAATAGTACAAAGGGAACATGACTGTTGGCAAAAAAAAACATTAAAGGAGTGAAACAATTGTTAAATCAATACATTTGCAGTGGTCTGAATGCCTTGCAAGTCGTACTCGGGGTGGGGGTGGGGGGGCGGGGGGGGGGGGGGGGGGACACCCGATGAGCAAGTCTGCTGCAGCAGAGAGTGGCACAACATGGCTTGATTTGAGATATTTGGACATTGGATTGGATAACAGCAACACAACTCTACCTCTAACTTTGTTTGCTCTGCGACATTGATGTTTTATCTCCACAAATAACACAAGCCTGGAGGAGCTTCTGCTGTGTGGTGGAATTGCTAATGCTAACTGTTAGCTTCTACAAGGCGATATGTTCTCTGCTGTTTCCTGGACGCTAAACCAACAACAGGCTTCCCCGTTGTGAGCCAAGATGGGTGAGTCCATGAATGTTGACAGATTGACGTAGATCTGTCAGGATTTTCTGACTCAATAGTTTCACCATCTATTTTCTATCGGAAGCTAATGCAGCAGATAGGTGGAGGAGACTATTTTCATGTTCAGACTGCATGAAAAACTCAGAGTGACTGATTATAATCAGAAATAATCATTAAAAATGGTTTTCCAATGTTCTTTACCTTTAAGAAATATGCAGAGAAAACAGTTTTCACTCTTTTCTATAAAAACTAACTAACTAAACCAACAATACTTTAAAAAAGCAGGTTATTAGTTTAAATCGGAGGTCTAGGAATTAAACTTTTAGTTTTACCGACAGCTAAACACTCTTACATTTAGATCATTATAATAAAAATAGGCTTTGTCATCTTTTCCCACCACATTTTCAAATAAATTCCAATGTTATACGTGAATAAAAGTAAAATATTTTGATAAAAAAAAAATTTAATTGCACCTAATGTTGAATTTTAAACGTGTTTGTTTTGAATGTATTTTTTTTTTGCTAAAGTGTATATTCTAAATTAAAGCAGGATGAGATCTCCTATCTAACATCTCAGCGAGTTTGCTTATCCACGGCTCATTCATCAATGCTCTTGTTTGAGTTCTCCATGCACACTGATGAATGATCTCTATAAAGTATTATGGGATATTAGACAGGAAATCTCTTTGTCTGACTTTAGAATCAAACACATGCAGCCCTAATGTTTAGATTTAACCCAAAATCTTTATTGTTTGAACATATTACAGCTGTTTTATTTATTTATTTATTTATTTATTTTATTGCATGACTTCTTATTCTGCACCATATATCAAAGTCCTTCAAAAACTGCAGTGTGACATTTTGGTAAAGTTCAATAAAACTATAAAAACCTGTAGCTGTAAGGAGCTAATTGTGGTTTTAATTCAAGTAAACAAGGTTTCAAACTAAAAGCCTGGCTTTCAGCCCATCCTCCAGATGTCTAATTGCACAAAATAAATCAGTATGCTAATTCTGTATGCCACACTGGTTTCATAACACTAAGACACCTAAATTCAGAGAGTATACTAAATCTTTCTGATGTGGAAAGGGCGTCAGGCCTCAGAAATATGTAGATTCTCGATGTAAACAGAATAATCTCCTAAAAGAAGCACCGTGCTGTAAGCAAGGATGGGCCTCAGACATTTCCCTATATGACTCCTGTGAGGCCGTAACAAACGACTCCGACCTCCCAAAGCCACTTGACACAAATTAAAGCCACCTTTCTCATCACATTTTCATCTAAAAGCTATTTTTTAAATTACGAGTACTCACCATCCTCTCACAACCTTCACAGATATGAGATGCGAGAGCTCTAGGGATGATGCATCTGCCACATCCCCGTAAATCTCATGTGTTTGGCCACTGAACTGAGCTTTTTCGTACAGCACCATCTGTGGAGACATGAAGGGCAGCGTGAAAAAAAAAATCAATGCATTAAGCAGATAGACACATAAAAGCATCAATAGCTACATCCATCATTCCAAATCAGGAGTGTTAAGGACATTTAGCTTTATCTCCCTTTGACGCTACAGGATGTTGATGCCGATCCTTATTGGATAAGCTCCGAAGCACGCCATTATGAGAGCCCACTGGGTGCACAGCTAATGCAGTGAGTTGCTTTAATATAAAAGTAGCATTTTCATTTATTGGAGTTGAATGTCGTATTGAAATTAGTGAAAAAAACAAAACAAGGAAAAAACAGAAATCCAGACATTTTCTTTAAAGCCCTCAATAAAAACGTATTGCAGCTGAAGCAGACTTTAGTGTGAATAGATAATTAAAGGTGCAGTTCACTTGTTTAATCTATACATTTCAGTGGTCTTTATTAGGAATGAATGTCTTGTAAGTCATACTCTGGGGAAAAAAAGCTCTGGTGCATCTGTTTCAGGTACTAGAAGTGACCCACATCAGAGTTGAGCAGAAGACGGCAGGATTTGGAGTCTTATTTACTGACAGTTGGACATCTCACCTCTGATTGGCTAACTGCAACGCGACTCCACCACTGACTCCATTTGCTCTGCAACGTTGATGTTTTATATCCACAAATAACACAGGCCTGAAGGAGTTCTGCCGTGTGGTGGAGTGGCTAATGCTAACGGTTAGCGTCTACTAGCTGAGACGTTCTCTGCTGCTTCCTGGATGCTAAACCAGCAAAAAACATTCCCCGTTGTGACTCAAGATGGGTGAGTCCATGAGTGTTAAGTGGCAGTGTGACGTAGATCTGTCAGGATTTTCAAATCCTAGAGTTTCACCTTCTATTGTCTTTCAGAAGCTAATTCAGGAGATAGGTGTAGGAGACTATTTTCATGTTCAGCCAGCATGAAAATCTCAGTGACTGATTATAATCAAAAATAAGCATTGAAATATGTTTTTTCAGTGTTCCACACCTTCAAATTACCTTCAGATTTTTTTTTTTTACTAATCTCTAAGGGGAATATGGTGTTGTTGCAACATCTATAATGAAAAATCTTTTGCACCGTGTTAAACTCCAGGGTTGGTAATCATACCCAGCTGAGCACTTTTTACCCCCGAGAACACCGTATGAAAACCAGATGTTTCCACAAAACAAAAAGCTGTCTGTTAAGATTCCTTTCTCCATTTTCTTTCTGTTCAAAGTGGGCAAAGGAGTGCCGACTGTACCTTTCCTGGGCGCTGGTGGAATCCCTTGACAGTTCTCATCTGGAATGCAAAATGCACAAAATTAGGTCCCTGGCAAACCCAGCAGACACCAATAAAATGTGAAACATGCCGATTTGTTTGTGCAGCAGCTCCGTGCCTGTATATCCCCCACCTATGTGTTTACTGCTGCAGACGTGGTGAGCGCTTTAGGATTACAGGGGTCTGATTTCAAACTGAAACGGCGGAATTAGAGACCAGTGAGATCGATACGAGTTCCTGAGGTAAATTGCAAGTTTGGCAGCTCCAAATAGTCTAAAAGGAAAACACAGGAATGGAAGCTCCACCCACTTGAAATACCAAGTCAGTAACACTTTTGAAAAGAAGAATCCCAAAGTAAACTACATTAGGTGTCCAACTTTTAAAAATCAATGCGTGCATTTGCAAAAGAATGTGCAGACTCTGAATGTTCGGCTGCAGGTTAACAAACACAACTGAGTGTACACATTCTGTGTGCCTTTCTCATCAACACAGGAACACACAAATTACAGAATGCACAAGTTTATGTCAAGGCTTTTCAATTAAAACCCAGCTACAAATGCCGTTATTTAAAAATATAGAAAACAATAAAGGTAAATTACATTTTAATCATCTGTTTCTGTCAGTTCAACATCTTTCATGGTCACTAAACCCCACTTCATATTAGCATTCAGGAAACATCTTTTAATTTTTCTCAGCTATATTCATAATAAAATAAAGATATGTTTCCCTACATGTTCCACATATTGAGAGGTTATGCAAATGTCCCTGTTTTTGTTAAGAATGTCTGTTTCATGTTTGAATATTCTTTGACTTTTTACCCAAATAAGAACATATTTGCATAAAAACACTCTATTCTTGCACTGTAAAAAATGTGTTTTATAAGCTAAAAAAATATGCTACTAGAAAAGTTTCATAGAAGTATATTAGTATGTTTGCCCTACTTTCATAAACCTAAAATATATCTCAATATTAGGGATGTAAGAAAATATCGATATGGCAATAGATCGTGATATTTTTCCCAGCAATATTATATCGATATTCAAAAGCTGTGTATCGGAAATATCGATATGGCAATATATCGTGATATTTTGTCCTGCGATTATTACATCGATATTCAAAAGCCGTGTATCTAATTCCTGAAAGAATTTACATGAAAACATTTGTGTATTTTCTTTTCGTTTTGCGCAATTCATTCGCCACCCGCTAGTTGGCAGCAGTGTGCAGCGGGTTTTGTTTCCACCACTGAAATGTAAATCCCTCCATCATGGTTCAGATACCTCATGTTAAACATGTTATGTATCAGTTTGGACTGTTTATTGAACATTCTTACAATAAATTCAGTAAAAAAAAAATTGCTTGTAACGTCTGACTGAATGTATCGCATTACATTGTGATATATCGTATCATCTCCCCTGTATCGTGATATGTATCGTATCGCCAGAATCTCAAAAATACACATCCCTACTCAATATAGTACCTAAAGTTATCTGAAAAGACAAGGATGAGCCAGATTAAACCTGCTGTATCCTTGGAACTGAATGCATATGCACAATGAGTGTTTTAAAGTAAGTCAACAAATATTAGCCGAAGGATACGGTAATCATTTGTACAGGCCACTAAAAATCAAACAACATGGCAACTCACTTTTTGCAGTGTTGAGTCATTTGTGTTGGGAAATATTAGTGAAATTAATTTAGTTTTGCAGATCACTCTAAAGGAAGATATTCCCTTTAGAGGACCGCTGCAGTTCCAAAAACACAGAAAATCGGCATTTTTTTTAGAGAAAATCGGCTTTTTATAGCTTTCAATAACAGATTTCAGTGTTTTATGGATTTATTTTTCATTAAATCCTTTGATTATCCAGATTTTTAAAATGATCCTATCGCGCTGAAAAGGGATCAATAAATAAAATCTAAGTGGTGAAACAACAAAACACGTTAAAGTGATGCAGTTTGACAAAATCATCATCCGCTGCAGCAAAGATTGTTTATTTATGCAACCAGATGAATTACAATGAAAAATAATGCGTCAAAAATACAGAACTAGCATGAGCAGAGAGGCCATGCAATAAGGAACGGCTACAAATCTGCATTTTGTTTCTAGATTTATAGAAGTTCAGCAGCATTTTGGCAAAATAAAAGCAAAAATAGTCTTAGCTTACAACGCTAATGAGCTCAAATGGGGTTTAGTTTGCGTAGCTGTAGATGTTCCTGTAGCAGCGTGTGTGAACGGTACTAAACAAACTTACATTATCCCTGAGTGTGTTGTGTGGCTGAGTCAAACGCTGTTTGAGATCAGGAAGTGTGGAGTGTGTGGTTGGAGGAATCCCAGGAAAACGTGGAGCGGTAGTTTCAGGAAGACTCGGCTTTAGAACCATGTCTCCCTTAACTCCAGAAGCCATTTTCTCTGTTAACTGAGACAAAGGCAGGACGAAGATCAGAAAAAAGGAACGTTTTCGCTCATACAACACAGAGAAGATGGTGACTGTTGACTTCATGCACCAGTAAGGGTGTAGCTTAGCTTCATTTCAAACAGCCTCAACATTTAGATTCTTTTCATGCACACGGATCTAAACTAACCTCTGTTTTGACTCGATCCTGTCCTTGAACGCTCTGCCCTGCTTTTGCTCGATCCTGTGGGAGGTACTTCTCTAAATAGTCCGGCAGCTTGATGTCGTTAAAAGGAGGAAGTGGAGGGCCTGAGTCACTGACCGCAGTTTCTGCTGCCCAGGTTTCCTCCCGGCTGTGTGTGTTTGTGATTTGGACTGCAGCTGTGGTCGTCGGGCTTGGCGGGGCCGGCTGGGGTGAAGGTAGAGGACTGAGCCGGGGGGCTTCTCCTGGCATCACACTGTCAGAGTCCTCTGCTTCTGTTTGAACTCCATTTCTCTTCCCTCTGATGCTAGAGGTGAGACTGCTGAGGATAGAGCTCCTCTCCAAGCGAGACTTCACCTTTATTTGTTCGTCTTTCTCTTCCTTTGCATCCTCCCCATCCTTAGCAGGGTTCTTGCCTTTAAGGTGCGCGTGACTGTCCAGACTGCTAAGCAACAGGCTCCGGTCAGCAACGCTCACCCTGGCCGGTAAGAGGCCAGATTTGGTCTCTGTGCTCTGGAGCTTTGCCAAAATGCTCGGAGTCGTTTCTAAACTCATCTGGGTTTTCTTTCTCAAACCAAACGTGAACTCCTCAGGATCAAATTGCTTCTCAAAGCGGTCCTCTCTGATGGCCGGCATTGCAAAGGGAGGCTGGGGCGGCCGGAGCACGTTGTGTTTACGCGGTGGGAGAGAAAACGGGGCGCAGAGTTTCTTGATTTTCTCAACAAAATCGTCGTCGTCCAGCTCACCTGAAGTGTCCAGGAGATTGCTCTCACTCCCGGACGAGGTCAGTTTAGTCTCGGGGACTTTGAGCTTTCGTTTGGGAAGATCCAAATCTAGCCAGCTAGAGGGGGTATCTTGCTCTTTTGACGAATCAGCTTTCATTAGTTCCTGTGGCAAAGTGAACTTCTTCATGGCTGAACGGTGCGTTGAGTCTGGAATCGGTTTATTAGACTCTAATTGAATAGGAGCCTTTGGAGTTTGACTCATCCTGTCATTTGCTGGTTCCTTTTTGGTGGTGTGAAGCCGTGAGTGTGGCGAGACATCACCATTAGCAACAGGTGAAACTTCACTCGCTGGCTGGGTGATTATTTTCTCAGCTGGCTTGTCTGTTTCATTACCGGTGGAGCTCGATGTGATGCTGTCACAGCAGCTGTGAGGTACTTTTTCTGCATCCCTAACGCCGCTCTCTGGTTTCTGTGATTTCTCAGACATTGCCTTGCTCAGATTTGGTTCCTTTCTACGGTTTTCTTGGGATTCGGAGAAAGGACTGTCAGAAGCGGTCTGTCCAACTCCTGTACTGGTTGGTGATTTATCAAGAAGCCGTTCAGTGTTTGAATTTGAATTTTTAGATTCTGTGACGATGATCTCAGGAGGTTTCCGAACCGGGGTGACTTTAGACCCTGTTGCACTCACTCTCTCATCTCCTGCTGCAGTTTTAGGGAAAGCTTGGGTGTTGGAGATCCCGGCATCATTAGCTCCACGTGTGCATGAGTCATTCAGAGGATTCTCGGCCTTTTCCACCAAAACAGAAACAGGAGGGGGCTCTGCCGCTCTTGTTCCAGAGCTTTCTGTGGATTGTGACTCAGGAGGCACGCTCGTGTCTGTCACTACCTTCTGGGGCTTTTTATCACTCTCTGTGCCACACACAGGCTCATTAGTCTGGGTGGCGGTACAAATAGCAGCATTTTCTGGAGGCCGAGTCTCACTGACATTCTGTAATTGAACGGGGAGAGCTGTAGGCTTCTCTGACTTGTCCTTCTCAACACTCCCCTCTTTCTCTGAGGAACTCTGTCCCCTGTGTGAGACCTCACCCTTTGCAAAGCTTTTATCTGTGTTTTCTGTGCCCTCCCTCTCGGTGTAATTAGCTTCCCCGCTGCCGACCATCTCTAATTCGACCACGTCTTCAGTCTCAGCTTGATGCATCGGCTCTGAGCTTGGAGCTCTCTGCGTTGTTCCGTCTTCATACTTTCCCTTTTGTTTACTTTCTGATTCAGGCCGCATCGACAGCTCTTTAGCTAATTTGGGCTGTTCAGTGGACGACTTCTGCTTTGCAGCAGGAGGCTTCTCGAGATGCTCTCCGGCTGAGGAGGTTATTAATGAGGACGGGGCTGAAATTTCGCTGCGGCTCACTGAAGCCTTTAGTCTTTCCGATGTGAATGCCAGGCTGTGTTCCTCTGATTTTTCCTCCTTACTGGATAAAATTTCAGCCTCCTGACCAACAGTCGCCTTTGTTCCACTGCCACAAGCGGCGATATCTGTTTCATCTGCATTAACGGATGATTTAGCTGGTCCCTCCTGCTCGTTTTGCATTATTTCTGTATTTTCTGTTTTGATTGAAGCCTGCGACAGAGCGGCCTGCTTGCCAGACACGCCTGATTCATCCTTCTGTTTAGTGTCGCTTACAGGTCCTGATTTATCTCCTGGGGGGGGTTCAGCCATTGCTTCTGGTATTTCTTTGGAAGCTGAGGACATCATTTTTGTATCTTCCACCTCATTTTTCTCAGTTTTATTTGTATTTAGATCGTTTTGGCCAATAGGACTGGCTGGTTCTTTATTTTTCCTTCTTTTAGAGCGGGAGCTGGTTCTGTCACGGCCTTTGGGCTGTGAGGGAGAAGCATTAGTCACATCTGCACAATCACTTGAATTGTTTAGTTTTGGGATCCGTTCAACTGTCTTTCTGTCTGTTTCCTTCAAGTCCATTATCTGTCCTGTTTGGGTGGACATCTGCCCACTGACAGCAGAACCATCCAGTGCATCAGGTTTTGGTGTTATCTCTGACTTACTAGTCGTCATCATGGGCTCTTTACAATCCAGTTCATCCTGATTACCCAGTTCTGACGGCTTTGATACTAAAGCTGAAACAGGCGAGAAGGATGTCGGAGTCGTTCCTGTCACAGGCGGCATTTGTTGAGTCAGTGCTGGTTTGGCCTCTGAGTTGCACGCCTCTGCAAACCTCCTGGCACGCTCTTTGATCGTCATCGGCTTCTGCTTGTCAGGTGATGCAGAGCTGGACCTGAGCGTGCCGTAGCCCTCAGCTGATCTCGATCTCTGATCTGTCGCAAGAAAGTCGACTTTAATCCTGTCTGTGACTTTCCTGAACGGAGGCACGTCGGCGCTCCTGGAGGTCTGGATGCTCTTGTGGAGACCCCCATCTGGCTGCTGCTCAAAGAGGCAGATTTTATCCACAATCCGGCCAACGGCAGCTTTGGGCTCCTCAGCAGGAAGTCTGCGTACAACAGGGAAACATTTAAAAAGAATCTTTTAAAAATCATTTTTTTCCATTTAATCTTTGGAAGATTTCAGAGCGACTCCAAAGTGAATCTCCTCTTTTGTCTAATCTTAAGAACAGGGCTGAACTTTGTGCTGTGACTCACGTTCACACCTGTGTTAATTCCACCCACGCTAATGAACAGATTTTGGAGCCAAACAAAAGCTAAAGGAATGTAAATTATGAAACAAGACTAGCATATTTAACCCTTCCAACAAGTTGGTTTTTTCAACTGTTAAAAATCTAATAAATCAGTTCAGTTCACTCACAAATAAACGATTTCTCCTGTTTTAAACTTGAACTTACCTCCCATCGGGCCCGTCCTTTGTTTCAGCTGTATTGTTTTTGGTTGTAGCGACTAAATCTTGGTGTTTTGCTGCTGTGCTCCACTTTGGGGTAAAAGGTACCTGTTTGGGGAAAACTTTCACTTCACTATGAGAAACTTTTATGCTCCTGCGTTTGGACTCTGGCGTCTCTGTCTTCCTCTCCACCCTGTACAAGCTGTCGTCCTCATCCATGTCCGCCACACCGACCGCCTCACGCGCCCGAGTGGCTGCAGAGACTGAGACGGAGCTCTGGAGGTTGTCCCAACACTTAACCATATCTGCAGAAGAGATCTCACTTTCCTCCCTTTCAGGTGAGACCAGTAAGGTGGGGTTGTGCTTGCAGGAGTCTGCAGACGCCTTGTTAAGGTGAGCGTTTGGACCTTTGTCCACTGAGCTGCTGCTTGGAGAGAAAACCTCTGGTTTTTTCTCCTCGGGGCTCTTCCCGCCGTCTCCCTGAGAGTTTTTTCTGACTCTCCTTCGGTTTGAGTTTTTACGGCCCATGTCGTCTGCCTCTGTTTGTTCTTTATCAGGTTCAGACTCAGACTGAGAGTCTTTGTGTGGTTTCAGTGACACTCCCACTAGAGTACTGTAAAAGCTCTGTGCCCCGGCTGCAGGCCTCACATTTTTTTCTGCTCTTGCTGGACTGGAACTAAAACCCGGTGACTTGGCCCAGGAGAAAACGGGCAGGTTTTTGTTTACTTCTGTGCGTACCACTTCCTTTTCAGCACATGTGTCCCCTCCACACTGGATCACGCAGGTCTCCTCCAGATACACATGGAGCCTCCTGCCTGTTGCTGCTTGTTTGTCAGGCTGGGTGTGGGCCTGGTCAAAGTCCCACGCCACTCCCTGTTTAGACAAGGAGGAAAGATGCGTCAGATGACTGACATTCTTCACAGGGCTTCCACTTGTCGATGCAGCCTCACAGATCTCCTCCCTCCCCTCACCCTGCGCTGTTCCCAGCTTCCTCCTCTGCACAAGCTCCTCCTCTTTTGGACCTCCCTCTCCTGTCTGAGTGCTGCTCACAACAGAGCCGTCTCTGTGGGCAGACTGCGTGGCGTCCCCCTCTTCAAAAGGGAGAAAACTTTGGAACAAACCCAGTGGACTACTGTTCTTGTCCCCTGCTCGGGTTCTCACACAACCCTCATGATCCTCATCATCTTCTGTCCAATCACTAATTGAGGATGAGTTTTCATTGGGACTCTTTGGAACGTTTCCTTTCCATGGGGAGAGCCAGCTGCCGATACGACCCAAGACTCCAGTACTCGGCAGCTCTTCAGGACTTTCAGCCTGTAGCAACAAAACAAAACAAAACAACAAAATAACCCTGAAACGAATTTACACATGCACCAAATGCTATAAAACGTGCAAATGAAAATATTCAAACTTATCATGAAATTCATGTAAAAAAGGTGAAATCAACCAACTTGTTATTTTTAGTTGTGCAAACTTTCTATTGTTAGAAAAAGAAAGTGCAGGCTGTTGGTTCAAAAACAAACGGATGAAAGAAGATGTTTTTACTTCTACTGCAGCCATGCATCTCTCAGCATAGCAGAGCCATTCAGTGGTGCTTACGATCTGTACGCTTACCGTAGAAAATACCAAATCATTCAGACTCTTTATGTAGGATGTGAACATGATTTTTGCTTTAGAACAAAAAGTCCTACAGAGCATAGAACAAACACAAAATCATTTCACCAGAGTAAACAACACATCTGAACAAACACACTGTCCCGTAAAAATGTGTTATTGTTTCTAAATTAGAGCTGATTTATAGTAATTCCAAGGAAAAACTCACCCTTAATTACTTGAAGGAAACTTTTTCTCTCCCCTCTCATTTGCAAACAGCGGTGAGACCATCCGGGTTAAAAACGCATGATGCCTTTGCTCTTCTCTTCTGCACTTAAGCATCTCCAACTATTAGTGCGTTATAAACGCGTGCTGCACAAGTTCTGCCCCCTCCAGCAGAGCGCGCGCTGGTAATGGTGCCTTCAAGTGCGGCTGGGAAACTTTGAAACTTCAGCGTTTCTGTGCGTGAGTCATCCGGTCACGCTTCCACATAACGAGCCACCCAGATGCGTTTTCATTTCAAAGTTAGTTGGAAGACTGGCAGATGGCCAAGTTCAGTCTGAAGTGTTTTTAAATCTGTTATCAGTTTCTTTGTTCACTTTTTTGTCCTTTTAAAATATTTCTGTAGTTGAATTGAAATCAGGTTCACATTCTTTTATTTTGAAAAAGACACGCAGATTTCCTTATTGCTGCAGCTCCTAAATTAGAATTAGACTGTGCACGCGCGCGCGCGTGCGCGCGCGTGTGTGTGTGTGTTTGTGCGTGTGACTGGTAGGAAAATGTTTTCTCGGCCTTTTGATAAATTTGAATGAAACTGAGACAGGAAATATTGGATGTGCATCAACATCTGACCTGAAGACAACCACTGCACCTGCTTGACCTTTGCAATGACTGTGGCTTCCGCTCTGTCAGTTTTACAAACAAGTGCATACAAATCAAACAAGAATGGCCAGAACTCTCCAGCATTTCTCAGTACTTGATGATCTTAATTTAAAACTAATGTGAAACGGCGTCAGGTGATGTGCATTCCATTATGGCACACTTCAACATTAAAGGGGACATATCATGATTTTTTTTCTTGTTTATGAAGTTTTTTGCTCTAAATTCCTCTCACGTAAATCAATTTCAGTAGTTTTATTCTTGATAGTTTCAGTACCTTCCAGAATTAGTCATTAAGGCGCTGTCACTTTAATCCTTTAAGACTGGCGGGAGCGCCGGCGCTCCCATTTGCATATCTGTGTTCAGATGCTTGTAGAACTGAAACTATATAAGAGAGAACAAACAATGTTTTGCATATTAAACCGGAGGAGGTACACTAATATCTCACACACTGAACATGTCCCAGAGCGCTGCGTATTTCCGCGAATGAGTTTGCAAAAAACTACCAAAAAGCACAAATAAGAAAAGCGTTTTCATTCGGACACGGACGCTGTGTCGTTCTGATCTGCAGCTCACACGGCTTCACACGCTAGAGTAAACGTCATCACGTTGTCAACATGAACTGTCACATGATTATCACTCACCCAATCACATGCTTTGATGTCATTTTCCCGCAAATTGTAGTTCTTTGTAGTCCCAGTCTTTCAGCTTTTTCTTGTGCTTTTCTCAATAATACGTTTAGACAAACACACACATCACACACCCACTACAAACTCCCGACATGCTCACACATCACTAGGAACATTTTGATGAATCATGGACCGGCCAAACGGTACATCCCCCCTGGACACCATTACAGCGCTGGATGATGTTTAAGTTTCAGTTTCCTCACGTATATATTCATGCAATATTTTTTATTATTGTTATTGTTATTAGTGAGCTAAAAGGAAATACTACTGAAAACTGAGCTACAAATATTCAATGTTATTATTTTAGACTCCTGCTGATTATTATTATTTATGTTTTTGTTTTTGTTACAGTTTATATAAATGAGTGTATCTCAGAAACAAATTCATGGAAGCACCCATCCATCCATCCATCCATCCATCCATTTTCATCCGCTTATCTGAAGTTAGGTCGTGGGGGCAGTAGCCTAAGGCGAGAGGCCCAGACTTCCCTCTCCCCAGCCACTTGGGCCAGCTCCTCCGGGGAAATCCCAAGGCGTTCTCTGGCCAGGTGAGAGACATAGTCCCTCCACCGTGTCCTGGGTCTACTTTTAGGTCTCCTCCGGTTGGATGTGCCCGGAAAACTTCACAAGGGAGTCGTCCAGGAGGCATCCTGACCAGATGCCCGAGCCACATCAACTGGCTCCTCTCGATGTAGAGGAGCAGCGGGTCTACTCCGAGCCCCTCCCGAATGACCAAGCTTCTCACCCTATCTCTAAGGGAGAGCCCAGCCACTCTTCGGAGAAAACTCATTTCGGCCGCTTGTATCCGCGATCTCGTTCTTTCGGTCACTACCCAAAGCTCATAACCATAGGTGAGGGTAGGAACATAGATCGACCGGTAAATCGAGAGCTTCACCTTCTGACTCAGCTCTCTCTTAACCACTGCAGATGCAGCACCAATCCGCCAATCGATCTCATGCTCCAGTTTTCCCTCACTCGTGAACAAGACCCTGAGATACTTAAACTCCTCCACTTGGGGCAGGACCTCATCCCTGACCCAGAGAAGGCATTCTACCCTTTTCCGAATCAAGACCATGGTCTCAGATTTAGAGGAGCTGATTCTCATCCCAGCTGCTTCACACTCGGCTGCGAACCGCTCCAGCGAAAGCTGAAGATCACGTTCTGATGAAGCCAACAGGACCACATGATCTGCAAAAAGCAGAGACCTGATCCTCAGGCCAGCAAAACGGATGCCCTCCACACCTTGGCTGCGCCTAGAAATCCTGTCCATAAAGGTTATGAACAGAATTGGTGACAAAGGGCAACCTTGGCGGAGTCCAGCTCTCACTGGGAACGAGCCCGACTTACTGCCGGCAATGCGGGCCATGCTCTGACACCGGTCATACAGGGACCTAACAGCCCATATCAGAGGGCCTGGTACCCCATACTCCCGGAGTACCCCCCACAGGGCCCCCCGAGGGACGCGGTCAAACGCCTTCTCCAAATCCACAAAACACATGTAGACTGGTTGGGCAAATTCCCACGCACCCTCCAGCATCCCCCTAAGAGTATAGAGCTGGTCCAGTGTTCCACGGCCAGACGGACCCTCCTCTCCAGAATCCCTGAATAGACCTTACCAGGAAGGCTCATGAGTGTGATCCCCCTGTAGTTGGAACACACCCTGCGGTCCCCCTTTTTAAATAAGGGGACCACCACCCCGGTCTGCCAGTCCAGTGGGACTGCCCCTGATGTCCACGCGATATTGCAGAGCCGCATCAGCTAACACAGCCCCACAACATCCAGAGCCTTAAGGAACTCTGGGCGGATCTCAATCACCCCTGGAGCCTTGCCACAGAGGAGCTTTTTAACCACCTCAGTGACCTTAGCACCAGAGACTTGAGAGGCCAACGCAAAGTCCCCAGACTCTGCTTCCTCACTGGAAGACATGTCGGTGGGATTGAGGAGGTCTTTGAAGTATTCTGCCTACCGATCCACAACATCCTGAGTAGAGGTCAGCAGCACACCGTCCCCACTATAGATAGTGTTGGTAGCGCGCTGCTTTCTCCCCCCGAGGCATCGGATGGTGGACCAGAATCTCCTCGAAGCCATATGGAAGTCTTGCTCCATGGTCTCACCAAACTCCTCCCATGCCCGGGTTTTTGTCTTGGCAACCACCCGAGCCACGTTCCACTTGGACTGCCGGTACCCATCAGCTTCCTCTGGAGTCCCACAGGCCAAAAAGACCTGATAGGACTCTTTCTTCAGCTTTACAGCATCCCTAACCGCCGGTGTCTACCAGCGGGTTCGGGGGTTGCCACCACGACAGGCACCGACGATTCTGCGACCACAGCTCTGGTCGGCCGCCTCATCAAAGGAGGCACGGAACAGGGTCCATTCAGACTCAATGTCCCCCGCCTTCACCGGAACATTTTGGAAGTTCTGTCGGAGGTGGGAATTGAAGCTCCTTCTGACAGGAGACTCTGCCAGATGTTCCCAGCAGACCCTCGCGATACGTTTGGGCCTGCCTGGTCTGACCGGCATCCTCCCCCAGCATCTGAGCCAACTCACCACCAGGTAGTGGTCAGTTGACAGCTCCGCCCCTCTCTTCACCAGAGTGTCCAAAACATGTGGCAGCAGGTCAGATGAAACAACAACAAAGTCGATCATCAAGCTGCGGCTTAAGGTATCCTGGTGCCAAGAGCACATATGGACACCTTTATGACTGAACATGGTGTTCATTATGGACAATCCATGACTGGCACAGAAGTCCAATAACAAAACACCACTTGAATTCAGATCAGGGGGACCGTTCCTCCCAGTCACACCTCTCCAGGTCTCACTGTCGCTGCCCACGTCAGCGTTAAAGTCCTCCAGCAGAATGAGGGAGTCACCGGAACGAGCGCTTTCCAGCACCCCCTCCAAGGTCTCCAAAAAGGGTGGGTAGTCTGAACTGTAGTTTGGTGCATGAGCACAGACCACAGTCAGAACCCGTCCCCCAACACGTAGGCGGAGGGAGACTACCCTCTCATTCACTGGGGTAAACCCCAACCTACAGGCACCAAGATGGGGGCAACTAGTTTGCCCACCCCTGCTCAGTGCCTCTCAGTGGGAGCAACTCCAGAGTGGTAGCAAGTCCAACCCCTCTCAAGGAAACTGGTTCCAGAGCCAGAGCCATGCGTTGAGGTGAGTCCGTCTATATCTAGTCGAACCTCTCAGCCTCACACACCAACTCAGGCTCCTTACCCACCAGAGATGTGACATTCCATGTGCCAAGAGCCAGCTTCTGTAGCTGAGGATCAGACCGCCAAGGTCCCCGCCCTCGACTACCACCCGTCACACACCGCACCTGACCCCTTAGGCCCCTCACACGAGTGGTGAGCCCATGGGAAGGGGGACCCACGTTTCCTCTTTGGGCTGTGCCCGGCCGGGCTCCATGGGTGAAAGCCCGGCCATCAGGCGCTCGCTAACGTGCCCCACCTCCAGGCCTGGCTCCAGAGGGGGGCCCGGGTGACCCACATCCGGGCGAGCGAACACGGTTTCCATTTATATAACTCATCATAAGAGGTCTTCGGGCTGCCCTTTGTCTGATCCCTCGCCTAGGACCTGTTTGCCATGGGTGACCCTACCAGAGGCAGAAAGCCTCAGACAACTTAGCTCCTAGGATCATTAAGACACTCAAACCCCTCCACCACGGTAAGGTGGCAGCCCAGGGAGAGCACTTGAAATAAATTTGTTGTTGTTTGAAAGGATTGTGTACATTTTTTTAAATTGACAATTTTGAGGGATAAAGGTTTGGCATTTCTGTATAATGAAACATGTGTGTAAATC